GCCCTGGGGAGCCTGTCCCAGTGCCCGACCACCCTCTGGGTGCAGAATCTTTCCCTAACCCCCAGCCTGACCCTCCCCTGTCCCAGCTCCATGCCGTCCCCTCAGGTCCTGTTGCCGTCCCCAGAGAGCAGAGCTCAGCGCCTGCCCCTCCGCTCCCCTCGTGAGGAAAGGACGCTAACTCCTTGTGTTGCTGAGTGCACAAAGGGTTGGTCAAGCAATTTGCTAAAACCAATGGCTCTTGGTGGCATCTATGACTGCCTAATGCCATCCATCAATTACACGATAGATGGAGTGGGGATGATCTCCGAAGATGAAAGCTTTTTGCGCTTCTGCCACACCTATGGTACCAAAAGCAGATGTTAAACCAGGGGAACACCCTAGCAGGCCAGCCCATGCTAGTTAAAATGCCTCAAGGGCAAGAAGCCAGGGGAACCACGGCTGTCAGCGCCGTGCTCAGAGCTTTCCTGCCCGGGCCAGCGGTGCCCATCCCGTGGGAGCCCATCGGGCCGAGGCAGCGGCTCCTGCAGAAACCTGTGTGGCTTCCAGCGACTCAAGTCGTACTTTGGCTTTACTTGCCATTTCTGTGACTGTTTGAAAAGGAATTTGCTTATCCCTAATTCCAGGTTTGGGCAAATACTGCGTGGCTCCAGCAGACCGATTTCTGGCACCCAGTTGAGAGGGATTTTGTTGCATGGGATACTGTTTTGTACGCTTCCCCGGCTGCGATTCAAAATAGCTGTTTTTCTCAGGCTTGTCCATTCGGAATGATATCATGTCCCAAGCCCTCTCGTTAAATTAATTGCCTGAGTTTCCTTTGTTTTACGTAGACGGGTAAGTAAGGCTCATTGCCTGTGAGCTCATGGAAATAACTTCATTTGAACAACTGTTCCATCCATCTCTACAGCCTTTGTAGGTGATTAAATACCACTTCCCACCCCAAACATATACAAACAGAAAGCCTTTGTAGCCATGGCACACTCTGTAACCATTTTTTCCTAGGATCCTGCCATTGTTTCCATGCCAATTCATTACATATCAGTCAGGTTGTGTTTAAAAAGCAGAAATCAAATAGGCAGTGGCTGAATTATAATGGACTTTTTTTTTTTTTTTTTCCCTTGCACAGGGGTTTAAGGCTATGCAGGTACGGAACAGCTTTAGTCGTGTACAAATATAACCCATATGACCTTATCCTCTGATGGCAAAATGTTCTTCTGCCCTAGAAGTGAGAGTGACACAAACAATGGAACCAAAATGCATGTTAAAAGCAAAAATAGGTCTTCAGACAGACTGCATCATTACCAGCTGGGCAGCCTAGAGTGCATTTAGAAACCTGGGAGGACCATGGAAATTGCTCCTCCTGCTCTCTAGGGGGGTAGATGGCCCCTTTTCACCTCAGGTGCTCTGTTTCTTGGTGAGATCAGCCCAGAAGGCCAACAGCATCCTGGGCTGCATCAAATGAAGCGTGACCAGCAGGTTGAGGGAGGTGATTGTCCCCCTCTGCTCTGCCCTTCTGAGGCCCCACCTGGAGTGCTGCATCCAGGTCTGGGGCCCCGGCACAAGAAGGATTTGGGGCTGTTAGAATAGGTCCAGAGGAGGGCCACAAAGAGGATCAGAAAACTGGAGCACTTCTCCTGTGAAGAAAGGCTGAGAGAGCTGGGGCTGTTCAGCCTGGAGAAGGCTCCAGGGAGACCTCATTGCAGCTTTTCAGGGGACTTAAAAAAAGATGGAGAGCAACTTTTTACTCAGGCAGATAGTGATAAGGGAGAATGGCTTTAAACTAAAAGAGGGGAGATTTAGACTAGATATCAGGAGGAAATTCTTCACTCAGAGGGCAGTGAGGCACTGGCGCAGGTTGCCCAGAGAAGCTGTGGAAGCTTCTGTGGAAGCTTGATGAGAAGCTGCCCCATCCCTTGAAGTGTTCAGGACCAGGTTGGATGGGGCACTGGGGAACCTGGTCTAGTGGAAGGTGTCCCTGCCATGGCAGGGGGTTGGAACTGGGTGATCTTTAAGGTCCCTTCCAACCCAAGCTGTTCTATGCTTCTATGAAATATATAAAGGGAATGTTGTCACCACTTTTCCAAAATAATAGGTGGCTGAGCTGAAGAAGTAGGGGCATCTCTGGAGGAAGGGAAGTGGCTCATGGCTGAACTGGCACAAGAAGTCAGGGCACAAGGAAGGAAGGAAGCAATTAGGTCCCTCAGGGCCACAGACAATGGCTGAGGAAGGTTCCTCATGTCTGAAACAAAGCACAGATTTCACACTCCTTATGGCCTGTGGTGAAGAAAGGTGATGGCCAGGGTCAGGACTGCTGCCATGCCACCTTCCCTATCGCCTTATCTCGTCCACAGCTGTGTTTGTGTGACCGGACCACACGGCTCTGTTCATGCTGCAGTCACCGGGGAGAAGCCTGTAAGAAGGTGTATATCTGAATGCGAAGCAGCCAGCCATCGTTTGTGTAAACTGCAGCACCATAAAAAATGCATGCCACTTGCAAACCAGAGCAATGTGCAGAGGATTCTCATTCACACGCACAGGATCTGTTCAGGCAGCAGAAAGCAGCTTTCCCAGGACTCATACACCTGAGGTATCTGTAGAAGTCCAGAGCCAGGGAGATGATCCACCCCAAAAGCAGCACAAAGTGTCCCATTTCAACGTTGCCTTATTCCAAACCCTGATATATACCTTGTCACATACCCTAACGCTTACCTATGAGCTGTCATGGAAGAGGATCAAAGAAAAAGTCCACACCCATGGAAATGCCATGCCAGATTCTTTTCCTCCCTTCTCCTACAGGCCCTTCATCTGAAGAATCTTCTTTATCCACAGGTGTAATGGAAACACACCTGCTTCCCATACGGGTGCAACCATGGCTTTGGCAGCGTTGAGCACAGTAACAGCAGCAGTAAAAATGGGTCAACTTTTAGAGTTTTTTAGGGTATGTTTTCAGCCAAAATGCATGCTGGCTATTACAGGAGGCTGGCCCCTCACTTAGCACTGGCTGAACCTGTGCTACCGTGTCTACTGCTATTGCTGCCGATGCTAATTAAAGCTAGCCCCATGTTTGCCTACACACGTCGCAGTCATTTCACTGTGTAGGCAAGCCCTGAGGTCCCCAGGCTGTCAGCAGTCTGATCGAGGCCCTCTATCTGGGAATCGATCTCCAAGCTGGTATGACCATTTCAGGGCATGCAGCGCTTCATTCTCATGGAGAGGAGCAATACTTAGCAAAATGCTTAGCCAATGAGCCAGCAAATTCTGCACAGCCACAGATACCAAGAAAGTTTTCAATGGAGCTCTGAGCACAAAGCAAACCGAAGGACTCCCAGAAAACAGGATACTGCAGTCAGCGAAAATAAACCACCGCAGATTTACACAGGGAATTTAACATCGACATTTCCATACGTGCCATCTGAGTGCACACTTGGTGCAAACTCACTGCTTTACATAAGTTTCCTGGCTTGTTTACACCCACTTTTGTCATGACTTGGACCACATCATTTGACCCAGAACATTGCAACTGAACCTGTTGAATTGAAATTTCTAGAGGAAATGTGAAGAAGTTTAAAAGTGACAAAGAAACACACATCTGCAGCCTTTATTAAGGCTACTTAGCTGGAAAGAATTGTCAGAATGTATCTTGCTGTTAACGTCAACCATTTCTTCTAAATTAATTTTGAAGCAGTTCATCATCCGTCCTCTTCACCTCCTCCCAGTTTACAGCACTCGCTGTAAACACGGCTTGGACAGCACACGCGGGCAGAGCACTTTCCTTTTAAGAAAGAGGACGGCGTAACTTCATACCTCTGTAAACTTCACCTTATTTGGTCAGGATTCTGTAAAGGTTTGCAATCCACGACTGCTACAGGAACAGCAGTGGTCATGCCTGTACATCTCGAAGAGCTAAGAAAATCAAGCCATCACCCAAATCCATGCCCCTGCTATCTACACAAAGCAAGAAGTTTATAGTAGGCTAATCTCATTCCTTCTTATTCTTGTTTTTGTTATTAAACTCTACAGAAGCAACCAGGCAGGCACGAAGTTCAAGGCTACAGTGTCTTTCATAACAGCTGCACCAACTTATCTGGTATCTCATCTCATCTCTGAACATGACCAACACAGAAGGTTTCTTTGATCTGAAAGAAACCAGCGCACACAGCACCAAAGGCTCAAGAACCTTGTGCTAATCTTGGCTTGCCACAATTTAAGTTCTGTTAAACTTGGGCATGCACCACACACATTGAAATTAAGAGCATTAAAATAAACTGCTGGTGGAAAGCCAGGGAGAGATAAGACTTCTTCCTCATTATAGATAAATGCAAGAAAACACCATTTGGTTAGTTTATTATAACAAAGGGTGAACTCAAAGATCACCACAGCAGCAAGCTATCTTTAAAACAGCCAAGACAAATGACTTCTGAGGCAAAGGGATGCTGGGCAAACTTCCTTTAACAGGTGAGTTGTGCTTGTAAATGCAGACAGATCTCTGAATATCCAGGGCAAACCTCAAAGATTTCAGCCAGTTAAACAAGATTCCCCAGCCAGAAACATTAGATTCAGAAACGCAGCCATTTACAAGACATCTTTTTCAGCTGAGGAACAAAGTGCAGTACCATGAGAAGCTGGTGAGTAACAAGGCACTTGTCTGTACACGCAGAGTTTTAAGAATCCACATTTTCTCTGCTCTTCTGGAAACAGAGGGATTAGAGGCCTGTGACGGCAGAAAACTTCACAAAGAAAACTTTCAGAGAGTGTAAGAACATCAAAGAGACTAAAAAAAAAAAAAAAAAAAGGACAAATTTCAAGACACTGGTAATTCTGTAGAGCACTTTTACTGCAAGAATACAGAGACTAGAACTCTAGCTGGTTTGTAACAGCCACAGATGCAGCAGTTGGGATTTGCTACTTATCTTGGTAAGCAGATGAGGAGGCCAACACAACATGCCTAGCTTTAATAACTAGAGCTCCAAGGACAGAGAATCGATGTGCACACATGGCTTTCTTTTTTTTTTTTAATGCATTTGATTAAGTCAAGGCCTATCAGGCACAAACAACCTTAAATTTTATGGCAGAATAAAATATTATGAAGAATAAAGTTTATGCTCAAAACCAACTGTAGTAGACTCAGGAGAAGACTGTCCACCAAGGTTGTAAACATTTGTTGAGTCAAGCAGAGAACTTTCTCAAGCTGAAGCATCTCTTTCTGTGAAAAGAATTTGCAACTTCACTGTCTGTGCTGAAAAACAAACAAACAAACAAAACTTCCACAAGTCTCTAATCTGGGCTATGAAGATTTTGAGGATGAAAGTTTTCTGCCTCATTCCACCTTATATAAGAAGAACTTGGTGTGAAAATTTGAGAAATTGATTTAGCTTGAGTCATTAGCTAAAGGCAACTCAAAGTCTTCCAGAATAGAGCTTCCTCGGCAGCAGTATGGTACTACACCCCCAAATTTGAACAGGAGTGTTAGTAATTCAAGCTTTATAGTAGAAAAGCAAGCAGCAGGCACAGTGGAAAAACTTCACAAGGTTCCGTTCAATCTGTAGCACTTCGGTGTCAGAGCCGATGGACTGGAAGCATTCAAGCAATTTTCTGGGGTCTGAATGGTTTCTTCAAGCTGTGTGATTGCTAACAAGTTCTGAGATAAAATTAATGAATCTGGTGAGTTATTTGTCTGAGAGCCAGCAAGCAGCAGAAATAAAAGAACATCCACTTTCCAGCTTTTCTAGCCATGATGGCACACAGCTTTAGTTAGTTTGACTCTTTGGAGCTGGCAGCAAGTAAAATCCAGCTTTCCCCTTTTTTCACTCTCCAAAAATAAGTATTCTTTTGCATAATAAGCATTTAGATTCACAGCAGTTGCAAGCAAACTCACAAGCTCATGATTAAAAAAAAGCTGGCATTTTATTACATCAAGGTTTCTTACTGATTGACAACAATTATTCCTTAGAGTAGAATAAGCTCATAAAGCTGGACATCTTGCATAGGTATTTTTAAAGAAGGAAATGAGAAAGGTGGCACAGACAGCTTAATTTTAGACACAGAAAGAATTATTCACCTAAAAACTAAGGACAGTACAAAAATAATGAACACAATTACTTTATCCAAGGCCACCTCTTCATGAGCAGAAAGGAGAAAAGAGAACCAGTGTATAGGATTGACTCGTCTTAAATTCTTTCACATCTATTTCAAACAGGAACTGGAAGTTTTATTTAGCTTCTGTCCACTTAGATCTGTTCCTTCCTTAAATCAGGGAGAGGTATCAAACCTGTCAAACTTTAAGCCATCAAATCCAGCACTGCACCATGCTGTCATTGAAAAATACACACGTTTATAAAAAATAAAGCTAACAGAAACTAACTGTACAGTCTGTGGTCCTGATTTTGCCATTTACAGCAAACAGTCCCATAGACAAAATTGTGATCAAGGCAAGACTGTCCACAGACAAGAGTCAGACCATATGTTCAGTTCATAAATCTGGGGACTAAGCTTCTCTTTATAACAAGATCAGCTAGGCAAGTCAGTCTGAGATAACTGGAGTTTACTACTTGTATCTGTTGCAAAGACCACATGGAAAAGTAAATGAAGATGATGACGTTTTGTGACAGAAGAATTAAATACCAGAACCCATTAATAATTAGAAAAACAAACAAAACAGAAACCAAAACACATAGTAAGACCAGCCTACTAATTAGGCAACAACTTATACAGCTGGACTGGTGAGACTTAGTCATCACCCACCAGAAACAGAAAACGAAAAGACTTAAAAATTTACTCTTATCATACACAATATATTGCAGCAGATATCCATAAACTCCAGCTATTCATCAGCACGACAGAGAACATAAGGTTATAAATCTAACAATTCAAGATACAGACATGTTTTTGAAGCAGTATTTCTAAACCTCTGTAAATAGATGAACAAGCTTCCATTTTTGTGAGCAGCTTTGATGACACGGTGTTAGTGTACGGAAGTATCTTCATTTACATCTCCTCAAGGCTTCTCTTGATAGCTTCTTCCAATTCTGCATCTTCCTCTGTATGAATTCAAAAAAATGATAATCTCAAACTGTGGTTGATAACTAGTCATAGACAATTGCATTATTATTACCGCATAAAGCGACAAATTACTTCTGCGGGCAATGCCAGTCGACTGAAAATAAGTTACAAAACCAAAATGAAGGTTATTTCCCTTCTTACATCTTATGCCACCTTTTAAACACTCCAAAACAGAAACAACCTCTACAACCCTTCACCGTGTTAACTAGGGGCAGCCCCGTGATTTGTGTAAGATTATAATGCAACTGCAAGTTTATTAGTCAAACAAATAACCATGATTAGCACCCACAGCTATGCATCAAGAAAAATAAGTAAAGTTTTAAAAAAGACAGACACACAAAACAAGCAGTGTTTTCACTCCAGTTCCTCGTCAATAGATACTCCCTATCCAAATTGTGACTTGGCACCACTGTTGTCACTCCCACTAGGAAGATATTAAGTATAGATAAAGTCATATTAACCGTAAGGGCTGCAACATTTTTGATGGTGGGAGCAAGGCTGCACTGTGCTCATCTGATTTGTTAACGATGTCTTGTAAACACCACTCGTAATTCTCAGGACAGCAGCTCTGCTTCGGCCTTACCTTTGGGTTGTCTTAGGCACTAATTGGGATTAGTGAATTAAACATCCTGAAGATAAACAAGGTCAGTATTAGTACTATTGGCATGATTAGAAAAATTATAAAAGCCTTCAGGCACACTATCATTCCTAAGCAGCTCATCTTCTGCTTGAGGAGGACATGAGCACAGTCTACAACAAAAGCCGACTGGTTTAGGTCTATTCTTATGACAAAGGAAAGTGAATAGCTACATTAACACATTAACATAACAGATTTTGAAACTGATTACTGTTAGGCTATTGCTGTATTTGAAGTTCACACTGGAGATTTCTGCAAGGCCTAGCTTTGTAAAGAAATGGCACCAATGAATGTTCTCAGGTGTCTGCTAAGCCATTTTCATTCAGCTGGACTTTGTTGCAACAGCTGATACTACTGACAAAGAGGTAAGTTAGTTTCTGAAAGGGAAACATTACATGGTCACAGAAGCAGAGATGGATTTTTGAAGCTAAAACAAAGCAGAAAGGCACATTTATAGACAAATGCTTATGTTAAGGTAAGCTGTCAGTAAACACTAAGTCTGCGTAGCTACCAAGAATAAGCTCCAAACCACGGCTCTGCTGCTCATGGCACACAGCTCTGTCCAAAGTGATGCCCAGATTGGCTCATATTCCATGGAGCTGCTAAAGCAGCCTTTTCTGCCTCCAACACTTGCTTTTTGCTTTTTTTTCAGCAGTTGCTGGTGCTATTTCATTTATCCATTTCTAGAGCTGGTTTTGCCTCCTCATTCCCTTTTTACCCCCATCAAGGGCTATTGTTAGCCATGCACACAGCTAGCTCAGGTTGCTTCCTACGGCTGGTTCTGATGCCTTAGTACAGAAGACACCTGACCCAGGACATCTTGCATGCACCAAATGTCACTGCTATCATTAATGGCAATATCCAGTGCTTAGCAGCACCTGAGCATGAAAAACTTTCAGGACTGTAGATGAATATCTTGCATTTTTCATAGCTATTTAGCAACAGTTGTTAAATGTATCACTGAATACATTCTGGGAAGATCGTTACCATAGTTCTTTCACCGCATTTGTACAAAGTATTTATTAATATTTTTGTTCTTTCTATTTCCATCAGGTGGAAGGGGAGAGTCACGTCTTTAAACAGAACGTGATTTCAAATGCATTGCAATCTGCCCCTAAAATTAAGTAACTACATTGTACGGACGTCACCCCTAAGCACAGCAGCAAAAGGTTGAAAACAATTTCAAATAAGGTAAGATATGATGCGAGCAGATTAGTTGTACCGCTGCTTCAAACTTGTGCATAAATCTACAGCTCACTTTTAGGAGACAAGAGGGCTTTGTTGAGATATAATACCTAATTCTGAACCATTTATTTAGAAGTTCAACTATTTATTCAGTAGTTCTACTTGCAGTCAGAGTCATATTAAACTGGTATGAAGTGAGCTCAGTCACATCTTAAATAGCACAATGCCCAGTGGTGCACCAATAAAAATAGATTTCAAGTCTGCTGGCATACTTTTCAGGCTAGGACGTTCTTTTTTTCTTTTTAACTCACAGTATTCTTGACTACTCACTATTCCCCAGAATATTTTAAAGTATTCTTAAGAGGTCACTCGCCAGAAAAATCATTTTAAGTTGAGTTTCTGTAATCTTCTGTAACTAATAGCAATCCTGAAAACAGAGAAGTAAAAATTAAAACAGACCTTCCTGTTTCTTTTTTTCTTCTAAGCTCCTTGTCACTGTCAGTTCCATATCTTCATCCTCTTCGCTATCTGAAAAATAATTGCACAGATTAAATGTAAATTACACATTGCTCCTAACAAATAAGTCAGTCATCTCCTACACCTAACTTACTATAACAACATTGTAGGTTGGATTTTAAGAACTACACGTGGTTGTAGCTATGTTTTCTTGCCTAAATACTCCATTTGAACAACTGACTGCTACAGCTAATCTCAGCAGTGCAATGCATCAATTGAACAATACAATTCAGCAGATGCTGTTCACATCTCACAGAAAACAGCAGAAATGCTTAGTTTAATCTGTTAATTTGTCATAGCCAAGCCCAGCCAAAATCCTACCACCGCTTCCTTTCTAAGTAATGCTCTTCACAAGGCTGGTTTCCAGCTCCAGAACAACAGCTGTGTTTTGAAATGTCTAGTAGGGATTGGTATATCTGAACTTTTTTTCCCCCCCCCCACTTTTTTTAAATGGAGACTCAGAAAATTACAGGTTAAAACCCAAAGAAGTCGATTAGTCACATCATGTATTCGCTCTCCTGCTAGAGGCTGTTGCTGTTTTGGGAGATGATCTCTGCAATGAGGTTGTATAATATTCACCATGAACTAGGTCTCCTATGGTCACAGCAACAACTTCCCTCTAAAACCAGTCCATTTACTAGTACATAAATGCAATTCTGATTATGCTTAGAGGCAAAGAAGATTCTGATATGGACATCTAAATTACTAACTGCGTGACTTTAGGCATTTTAGATGATCTAAGCTAAGCATTCAAAGTGAAAAATACACTTTATAAAATTTGCCTTCAAGCCTCTGACACACACACTTTGAGCAGCAGCATTACTGACTCTCCTGACTCCAGGAATACAAACACAAACAGCTGGCATCAAGTAGAAATCAGGAGCCCACAAAGATGCCAGAAACTTCTGAATATATACTACAGTTAGAAAGGTCTTTCTCCAGCCACTTAGCTGATTGCCTGTGCATCCTTTTTGGAGCTGCCTACTACCTCTGGGTAGAAGATACACCTCCCTGTATACCACCATCCAAAGCAAACAAAATATAAGAAACAAAAACCCAGACAAACCCCAAACAAATGTCATTTAAATCACTCATGAGAGAAAAAGTGCAAAGAAAAGGCTTTGCACAAGTGGCCTCCCCCATACTAATGACCGTTTTAATCTTCCAGCCTGGAAGATGTATCTGACTGCTCTGAAGTGTTGTACCTGTTAGAGATGTAAGAGCTGAAGCAACCACTCCCTAACTCATTTCTTGGCAGAAGTATAATGGAAGAATTGAGATCTCGAGACCAATAAGTAGCAAGGCAAAGTACAAGAGATTCTATGGTTTGCTGCCATTTCAAATAAAAATGCATCAAGAGCACTTTCCTGGAGGTGTTTTTTTTTTCCAGGCAACTTGACAGAAGATGTTGGCAAATGGGAAAGGCAAAATTCTTCAGATTGCAACCTGCACAGACAGCTAAACAGCAGAGGACAGGAGCAGTCAGAAGTTCAGCAGCTTCTTTCAGATATTAGCTAAAGGAGTCAGCTCTCCTGGAACCGGTTAGATAATCAGGCAGTATTTACCACACAAGGAACCACGATGGCAACCCCCTTGTATGATGTGCACAGCACTTTTCTGCTTCCTCCTGGCTTCTCTGGCCCAGGCAATCGGCTTGCCTGAGATTCAGTTTTTCAGAATATACAGATCCTCAGCTAAAGTGCATTTTGCTGTCAACTGGGATAGTTATGAATATTTGAAAAGAATTTGTACACGAGTTACTATTTTAGTTCATTAAGAAAATTTAGGATTCATCTTAGGTATTAATTCAGGCCTCATCTTACCAAAATGTTTTACCAGTCACACCTCTTTAATTACCCCACTGTAATAACACGGGATACACGTCCATATTGGACCAGAGGTATGTGCAAACTGGCATGCAAAACATTTAAATGTTTTAAAAACAAGTTGCCCGTCTCATGATTTATCATACTACTTCTATGCAATAGCAGAACGCTGCTCAGTAGTTACATCGCAGAGAGCAGGTTTGCCTCAAGCACAGTTGAAGAAACACCATTCCACTACCTACACCTGTAAGCAAGCCTATTTTATTAGGGCATGTAGTTTGCAAGCCTCTGGAAATGAAAGCACTGTTCATACACAGTAAGTGGTAGGTATCCAGTCGTGTCCTACAGACTGGGAATTCCACACACTGTATCTCAATTAATATAAGACACTGATACCAAGTCAGCAACGACTAAGATAAATCAAGCCAGAAGAGCTGAGAGAAACTATGAAACTTGAAAATAATCAGTACAGATCATACTCTGCCTGGTTGGAGAGGAAAACATCACCTCAGAGTCAAACGTCATTCCAAAGCACATGAGAAGTCTCACAAGCTACACTCTGCCTCTAGTGGTCTCAACTTTGCTCATTGTTTGCAAGGCTTCTCCCCCCTCTACCAACCTACATCAATAATGTTCAACTTCCCACACGGGCAGTTGCTGGATTCTTGTAAATCTTTGAGTTGGTAAAAGCTAACCTATTAAGAAGGCAGGAAATCTAATCTAGATATTTTTTTTTGTGACAAGGCTTGTCAGTATGTCAAACTGTACCGACTTTCCCCATGCAAAACCAAAAGCATGATCACACTTGTCCACAATTCCGCCCTCTGCCCCTAAGCCTACACAGAGCAGATTAAAGGTGTCACGTTGAGTGTCTGGTGAGGCAGGCACGGGAGGAGTAGAGTTTCTGGATCAGAAAATTTTAAGATATTCTAATATGGCTCTGTGGGAATCAGCAATAAGACTAACAACCAGAATAAAGACTGTAGGCAAAAAAAATTAATAGAAATGTTTCAACAAATAAAGGGGTGAGGAGCAGGAACTCAGCTTGCCTTCTGGGGTAGGCAGCAGTAATTAAGCATGGAAATCATCACTTGTCAACCAAGGAGAAGGAAGGGCCAACAGAAGGGCCAATGGATTGAACAGAAGCATTTTTAAGTCAGAAGAGACCAGGCTGACTTCCCACACTGGACAGGCCATTGTGCTTGACCTAACGTTGCTTGTGGTGTGCCTGTGTCCTGTGGCTGAACTCCACTTTGAAGCAGATCTTGGATTCTAGTTAACGTGCCCCACGCCAGTACCACAGAGCTACAAAATGGCTGAGGTTGGGAGAGGCCTCTGGAAATCATCTCGTCCATCCCCCTGCCCAAGCAGGGTCACCTAGAGCCACAGCTGCCCAGATGGCTCTGGAGTATCTCCAGATATTGTACTGGGGAGCCCAGAACTGGATGGGTGTAGCCTCACTAATGCTGAGTAAAGAGGATGGATCTCCTCCCTCAGCCTGTCAGTCCCCAGCCCACAGGCCGCAGCCCAGCAGACTGTTGGCCTTCTTTGCTTCAGGAGGCCATTGCCGGCTCACGGTCAATTGGTTGTCCACGAGGACCTCTAGGTCCTCTTCTGGAAAGCTGCTTTCCAACTGGTTGACCCCCAGCTTTTACTGGTGGCTGGGGTCACTCCTCCCCAGGTGCAGGACGTCGCACTTCCTTGCTGAATTTCACGAAGTTCCTGTCAGCCCATTTCTCCAGCCTGCCCAGGAGGTGGATTGTTCCTCTGGGTGGCGGCGTGACCCTCTGGCGTATCAGCCACTCCTAGTTTCGTGCTATCAGCAAACCCACTGAGGGCACACTGCCTCCTCATCACGATCATTAATTAAAGTGTTAAACAGGATTAGGCCCAGCACTGACCCACAGGGCACACCAGTAGTTACTGGCCATCACGCCACCCATCACCTGGGTTCGGCCATTCTGAGGATTTTTAATCCAGCCCGCTGTCCACTCACCCATCCCACACTTCCTCAGCCTGTACTTACTTCATCGGCATACACTTTTGGTGCTGCTGGCATCATCTGAAGATGTAGGGTAAATGAAAACACATGACTTGGAGAAATCAGGCACGTCCTGTTTCTCTCATTAAAAATGCTTAGCACACTCTGTAGCTCCCAGCTCCTCTGGGGTCACAAAGAAGCAGCAATCACCCAATTTCTCAGCCAGAGCATCTTAAAATACGGCCTCTTCTCCAGTGTTTATTAGATAAACAACAGCTAAGAAACTCTGTACCTATTCTCTCAAAGAAATCCTGCTTTTCTCTGTTGTCCTCACATATTGCCAAGCTCCTGCTGGAATGAATGAAACAGGAATGCAAATTCTGTATGAGAACAGGGCTCAGTGATTAGGAAGGTTAACCCCAGAGATGGGAGTGAATGCAGTAACTTTCCTTCAGAGATGTAGTAGAGCAGTATTTCCCCAGCCTCAGAAATGAGCTCTGGAAACTGTTAAGCTTCCACAGGATGCAAGCGCCACCCACTGTCCTGTCATCCCAGTGTCAGATGGGATTTGGATTAGTGACCCACATGTCTCAGAGTAATCAATTCCTTTCTTCTACCTGACACTTCTCTCCTTCTGCAACATCCCCAGTTACTACCATCCCCTTAATAGCTCCCGTCAGGTGTCTGGCTGCTCTGTCACACTGCAGACTTGATGATTGCCCTCTCTTGGCCTTAGTTCTCCTCCTTTGCCTTGTTGTAAAACTTCTTACTGCACCCCCAGACTGCTTCACACGTTGAGCAGTCTTGCACCCTACCTTCACTTCCCTCTCCTACAAGACTTGTAGTCTCAGTGACTCCCAGGTTCACCTGCCTCTTTACCATCCTGAAACACAATCGCAGAAGTATCACGCTTAACTCTCTCTCTCCAGCCACTTTCCCTTTTTACAGTTGACGTCTGAAGTTTTAGTGCTACCTTACCTTGAGGGTACCGTTGAAATTACCTCAGTCAGGATCCTAATGACTACTTAGCCAAAAACTTAAGATCAGCACCACATCCTTATCAATCCTGTTCAGTGCGTGTGATCATGCTGCTTTTAAAATACTGTTCCTTGGCTTCCACAATCCTTTCCTTTATTCCTTCTTCACTAAGTCCCTGGAGGTTCCTCCCCATACACTCCTCCCCAGTACTTACTGCTCTGATGTCTACTTCTTCATTAGGCAATATCACCTGTAAATGCACGTGCAGCTACTCCCTGTCAAGGTTTCACAAATACAGAAGACCATCTCTTCCTCCATGCAAACCAAAGCTTCATTATATATTATCTCTCCCTGCAGATGTTCCCTGATCTGTTCATTCAAGTGTAGCATGAACGCAAATAAAGCTCTTAATCCCTGACTCTGCTCCAACTGCATTTTTTTGGAAACTGGGTAACATGGATAATACCATGACGTTCACTCAGACTTTCATTTAACCTTCATCTTAGATATCTCTCTAAAAAAAAAAATTAAAAAAATCACAACCAGGTTAAATTAAACCTTGAAGAATTTTTTTTTTTTCGTGATCTGGGTGGTGAGGTCTTCCCAGTTCATCCACTTGGCTAGAATTTTTGTTCACGCTCATTATCTGAGGTCTTAATATACCTAAGGGCTTTCTGCCTAGGGCATATAAACATATACCCAAATGTACACACAAGACATGTCACCGACATACCAAAGCTAATAACTTCCTGTTGTAGCTAAACTCAAGGCTAACTTTCTTCCTACTCCCTCCTGCAGCTGACCGTGGCCTTTGTAAGAGCTGTGCACGTAAAGGGATAAATGCTTCCCGTAGTTCATTCGTGGTGCAGCCAGTGTGCATCATGCCACTGATGCTTATGCCCTTCGTGTTCAGTCTCTGGACGTGAGGGGCTGGAGGCTGTGACCTGTCTTTAGTCGCTTGCTGTCTGACATTTGTGTTAGCTGAAAGATTAGAAGAAGGCATTGTGCATCACTATGCCGTTGATTTTGACACTCTCATGAGGCATGCCTGGCTCTTTAAAGAAAGGAGAAGAAAGTCTGAACGTTTTGGTTGTCTTCTTATCAAAAAACTCTTCTACTTAAGAGCTCAGTCAATTAAGGATCTCATTACAACATGAGTTTCTGACAAATACAGTTAAGCTAAAGCCCTCCTTTTATACAAGAATCACCTCTGTCACCTGAGAAGTGCTGGCATTCATATCAGTGCCAGCATGCCCCCAATATTATCCGCTGTCCATTAGAAGTGTAATTTGTAGCAGTGCTGGCATTCTGAGATATCAGGTGTCAAGATGCAGACAAGAGATTGTGCTGTTTTTCTGCGTGCTACAAACCTTTCTTTGTAAAGGAAAAACTCGTTTTAACCTTCTGAAACCACTCTATCAACATGCACAAATCTCCCATCATGTGTTCTGCCTTCAGCATGAAATTAAAACTCTTGTATTAATTAACTCAGGTTTAAAAGCAGCAGAAGAAATAATAATGTCTTGCCTACTCTTTTCATACCTCAGAGAAAATTCATGGACTCCTAATGTAAAGTGTAGTCGATAGCCTGCTCCAATATATGCAGGAACTTCTTTCCTTTTTATTTTTTTAATGACTAAGTAGGGTACAATTGCCACAGCAGTTCTGCTGAAATGGCAAAACAGTTCACAAGATGCAAGAGAGATTGCCACCACGTGCTCACAAGCTACTGATAGCTCTGTCTGTCCATCAGAGACACTGCTTCTTCATTTTGAAGCTCATCCAGTCCCAAAAACTGTCCTGTATTTTTCAACACAACTTTTGTTGCTGTTTTTCACCTCTTTTTCCCTCCAGAATACTGCCCCTGGTTTGGGACTGCTGGAAATAAAGAAAATCTCATTTCTATTTCCTTACATTCAACTGTGTTTCTGTAACAGGACAAAAGGTTCTACGGGCCTATGATACCTATGATAAACAGCACAACTTTCCACCTCAGCCCTCCAATACTGGCCTTGCTCCAGGAAGATTTGTGAATGCTTGCTGATGCTGCTGACCAGTGAAGCACGTCTTCTGAGACGGCTACATCTTTTTAAAAGACCTTGACAGATCCTTGGCAGCAACATCAACCCACTACCCAGAGCAGAGTCCTGTCATCAAAAGCGAGTTTTCAAGATTATTCTGTTCATTATGAATTTGCCTGAGAACAGGACACGAGCATGATTCCAGCAACTTCCTGCTTAAAACACATATACCCACACACTTATTTTTTGTAATGACCACATGCATAGCTTTAGTGTGATGCACAATGACCAAACAACCAGCAAATTAAGGTTTTGGTTAGCTCAAATTCATCATTCTTAGCCAGAATACCCAGGTAAATGAAGATATACCAGCAAAATAACCTAAAAAGGAGTTAGAATACTCTTATGGAGCAACATGGTCATTCCCCTCTTCTCCCCATCTGGTGCTGGTAAGTCACACAACAAACTACACATGAAAGGAAGTCTCTACATATAAAACAACTTAAACTGAATGCATGGAAGCTATAGTTCTCTTCCAATATTTCCTTCTCTGAAATGAAAGCAAAACCATCCTCTCAATTAATATATGCAGTTATAATTACATTAGAACAGCTCTATCAAACGAGGGGTTTCAGTGTGCTCTAAAAAGAAAGCATCAGTAGTGGGAACGTAATGACACAACGTGCACCTCTACAGATAACTGAGGAGAAAAGTCATCTTCCTCCCTAAGCAAAGGGGACTATGCTAGTGAAAATCATGGTTCTGTAATCAGCTACGTTAAGAAATTTTACTGGTGTGGCTACTTCTGGATGGGAATGACATCTCCATAATCGAGCTGACAAATCTAGACCAGCATGGCCAGAAAAATCCATAAGCACCTTTTCTGTGTCAGAAACACACGGATCAATTCCAGCTCACCACAGACCCAACCATTTCATTATCCCATTTATTTTTCCCTACTTTAATCGATCAATGCCAAATTGCTATTCAGTGCTAGCCTTCCACTTCGATCCTCCTGATAGTACAAGAGAAACATAGGACTGTTCTCCTATACCTGCATACTAGTAGGGTATTTTTCTCAAAATTGTTTAGGGCTACTTCAGAAACAGCTTTCTGTAACATCTACTCAACTTACACGCCCAAAAGCCACAACAAAACAACTGGAAATGCATTATCTTCTACAAAAACTTTACCTCAAGATGTTTTAAAATACCAGGAAGTATTTAAACTCATCTCAGCTCCAAAATCCTTTGCATGAAAATAAGACTGCTCAAACCTCTGATTATTCTGTATAAAAAAAGTGTAATAATTTCAGCATGCCGTTAATAAGAAGATGGCATTAAAACTTTCATTGACATTTTTCCTCCTAACAGAGGTGTGAGTCCTGTGTCAGTAAAGACAAATACCAAGTGACTGGAAGTGGCCAGGACAGATGGAGTTAAAGTAGACAGAGATATTTTGGGAAATAACAATGAATTTAGCAGGGTCATATCTGTTACAGAGCCAGCACAAATCAGACAAAGCAGATTTGAACACAAGTCAATAAATATGTATGCTAGAGTGCTCTAAACAGCTTTTCTTTAACTAGAAAGGACTGGAATAACTGTTTTTCACATGCTGTAACATAAAACATAGGATGGATTTGTTAGGTAGAACAAAAACATGCAGTTAAGTCTGTTTTCAAAACTTGTCCCAAGCAAACTGATCTTCTGAGCCATATCTCACTGAAATGCAAGTACAATACAAGAAGCACCAAGTACCAACTTGTTTTATCAGCAAAAGCGTTCAGTTCTTTTATTGAGAAGACTACTAGTCTACTGGAAAGATCGGGCTTAACGCTTTCTACCTTTTGTGGTATCTGAAATGCTATTTAGCAAGGCACACATCATGTCTCCTTCAATGTGGTGGGGATTTAGGATGCGAGCTGACCGCTGAGTCATCTTAAACTGAGTTTCCAGTTCCAGGAAGCTTTTGTCTCCGGAAAGTATAGTGAAAGGAATTTGCTTGGGCAAGTGCTCATCCAGACGACCAGCCTGCACGGAAACAAAGGACAGATGTTGAACCGAGATCGTAGTTTTATCCTGTGGGGTTTGGCTACCTTTCTGTAAGGCAGCTCTTCATAGGAAAGCCTTCTACAGCAGCTTACCTCCACTTGTATCTGCAAGTTTATCAGCAAGTTATACAACTGCAAAAGGTGTTATTTTGACACTGCATTTATTCTATACATATGGTAATAGATACAGGGAATGGCTACCAGAACAGCACAGATACAGTATGGAAAAATTCTTAAAAACCATCATTTCAGAACCCTCTCCACTACAAACAAGCTGTATGTGCAGAGCATTTTAAGAGCCATTAAAAAAAAAAAAAAAAAGTAAGGCAACGTATAAACACTGTTGCAAAACACATTTATAACTTACAATTACAACAGCAGGTAGGTTTTATCTAACTGATAAAATACTATATTAATAATATGAGTCCCCATAACACCCCAGATTCCTGTCCTTCACCTGCACTTCTCCCAACCCAAAGCCCCAGGTCTACTCAACATGGTACTGACCATGGGCCCTGCTCTTTGTCAGCTCAGCAGGGTGTCTGAAACTGAAACCCATTCAACTCCATCTTACAGTTAGCTCCAGATTTGGGCTACTTGAAGGGAGAGGCAAAAGTTACACTTCATTCTGAAGCAGAAACTCTAAGAACTCTTTAAAAAAAAAAAAATTCTTCATTCCCTAACCAGCCTCCCACCCCTCCACAACAGACTGATATCCTACGTGGGATAACATTTTCATTCCAAAAGAAAGAAAGAAAAAAGAAAAAGAAGCAAAGCATAGGGCAAAGTGATAACGATGTACTATATTTACCCATTTATGCTGTATAATCTTCATGCAATCCATAATTTAATTCATAGGGACAAAAAGAAAATGTATGGTATCTAAGTTTGTCCAAATGTGTAGGGGGAGTGCTTCAAAATCACTTCTCAACAGGCTGTCTCCACCCAATTCAATGACAGGTTTGTTGTTCTTTTTCGTGGACATAGATGTTGTGTGAAGGAAATCTAAGAATCTTGCACGTAATTAAAAGTTAATCAAGTGTCAGACATCACCTGGCCACCCTTCTCTAGGTCCTGAAACAACAGCAAGGACAGTGTGCACTTAACTTACATGAACACAGAGAGCAAAGTCTGCTGCCTCTCTTCTGGTACCACAACGTGGATGAAGGAAGAAGCATCCAATCCTCTTAAGATAATTATAAATTCTGCACTGCACTGGAGGTTTCCAGTTGCTGTGTCCTCCTAAGCAGTCAAAGAAAAGAAATGCATAGCATTAGCATTGTCACCATGAATTAGGAATGCAAGGCAAAAGTAAAGGTACAACTGGCTTTGAAGACAAAATTCATTTTGACCAATGTAAAAGCTAAAAACAAAAATAATAACTACATTACTAAAACCCCCATAGCCCTTGTTTGTGGGTTAGAAAGCAAAAAAAATTGAAAGGAGCTAGCCTGATCCTGCACAAAGCCTCTCATTCAATTTTGTATGCTTTTTTTTTTTTATTAATTCTGAAAAAAATATTTTCCAGAAATGATGTGTGTTTGGATACAGTAACGTATCTTTCCAGCTTTATACACAGTTTGTGGCTAATCTACAGAAACAGAGGTGCTCTGGGAAAGTAGTACAATACCAGAAATGCTTTTCTTAGGGAACCCTACACTGATACAGTTCCAGAGATTGTTTCCAGCAGAATCCTGTAGCTTCCTGACACGTTGCATGTCAGAACTCTTTAAAGAGAAGTTCCAAGAACTGGAGCAGCAGCTGGAGGCCTGACAAAAACTTGGATGCAGTCAAGGATAAGTAAAATGAGGCTATATTTAAAAACAAAAACTAAACAACAAGAACAAAAAACACCAGCACACAACATGCAGGAACCTTCACAACCTAAAACATGTAGTTACTAGCTTAGAAAACAACTGGCTAATAGGAAAAAGCTGAGTAAATAGATTGCTACAGATAAAAAAGAAAAGCTGAAACAGGTTGCAAGGGAAAGGAAAGGAGTAGCAACTGTCTCAAGAAGAAAGGGAAAACCAGAGGAGGTTGCAGTTACTATGACAACATAAAAAGAAAAACAAATGGAAGGACAATGTGAAGGGAGTGAGTAAGAATTTCACGACATTCCCAATTGCTAAGAAATAATGGGTTGGCAACAGGGAGGAAAACAAATGCTGCTTGATCTGCTGGGTGATATAATGGCTGGGTGTAAGGAAGGATTTTGACTGCAAAGTGAAACCAGTCATTGACTGTACTGCACATGAGGACTTGTGAAACTAAGACTTGCATCAACAGGCCATGGAGGACCTCACATTCTCCTTGAATCTGACAAAAAAATAGAAGCAGTCTTCAGCAGATTTCTCCTGATTTTGTTTTCTTTTCACCCTAACTTCTATAAGAGGCTACCAAAAACAATCAGAAAGCTCAAGGATCTAGTAACAGACTATACAGAAAAGATCTAGAGGTGCCTGTCCACGAGCAAAATGATCTCTGAGTTGTTCTCGTCTGCTGTGACAGCCTTGGCCACTGCCATTTGGGAAAGACTTGTAATCAACCCTGGTTTTGGGTAGCATAAATCTACAACACAGATTTTTGACCGTAACAGCTGGCAGAGCTGTATTTACTCTAGTGGAGCTGGACTACAAAACAGGTGAAGAAATACAGAATATATAAAAACAGAAGCAACATATAATGGAGGAACTCAAAGAACAGCTAGGGCTGTATTAACAACAGGAATAGTAGACCTAATGCAGTAGGTATCATTAAAAAAAGTCAGAGATGCTGTTTGGAAGTGTAAAAAGGAAAAGAAAAAGAGACAGGGATGTTGCTATTTTTGAAGGCTGAACAAATACAATAGCATGCATTAAATAACTCTGTAAACTATGTCTTTGAGAACATCTACAACATCTCCACATGTGCCTGGGAACCTTACTGTTCCAAGGCTCTGTAACAATCCTTCTGACTCTAAGAAATTGTTAAAATGTTCTCTGATACAGATTTGGCCTGTTTTAATGACCACTAACTCTTTAGCAAGGTTTTTCCGTTCAAATCCTCCAGCAACCTGGATGCAGCAATCCATTTGGAAAACAAGAAATTTAGCAGCACTGGCACGGACTGTTCAGTGCCACCAGGCCTGAGGATTCAAAACATCCCTGGGCACGTTGCCTTAACTGGCTTACCCTATCAATAGAGGTTCCTAACAACAGATTAGTATCACTAAGACTGTCCTATGGATTACTTCTCAGGTCAGAGAAGAACATTTCTGACAAGAATACAGTTCAGACAGGCTCAATCCTTACTGAATCGAAACAGGGTGTTGACCTTGGAAAGAGGTAACAGCACAGACGACCTTGCCATAAGAAAGAAGCTTGGGTCAATCAGTGACAAACCAGTTTGAGCAGAGTAGCGAGCAAAGTATGACTGAAAGCAAAGGTCAGAAATCAAGGGGGTAAAATTTCACTTAACCGTGAAAAAATATTATTTACTAAGGAATTCTTTATAAAACCCAGACATAGTAACCCTGATTTTAGATGTGAGCCAGGCATCATGTTTCTTCAAATCAGATGCCCAATAATTTCTTATTTTAATCTGTAGAAAAATAAAATGTTGTTCCAAGGCCAAGCCTATTGAATAACTGTAGAAATCAGCAAACAACCTTCAGAAACTGCAGCAAGGCCTTCCAGTGGTGTTTCAGAAACTGCAGCAAGGCCTTCCAGTGGTGTTTCAGGCCTTTCCCATTTTGAAACCACAACTTATCTGGACTTTACTGAAGTATTCCATGTACTGCAAGGGTAATAACTGAAGGCAGAAACAAAGAAAATCAGTAGAAAAGCCACAAACTGTATCAAGTTAATGGGATGCTATTGGTAGACTTCTCAAGAAGTTTTCTTACAAACCCATAGCAATGTGACTTCTGCCGATCACTTGGTACCACTGCTAACGTCTTCCAGATGCGAGACCCCTAGTGATGTGCAGGATGACCACGAACCTCCCCAAGAGGCAAGCCAGAGACCGAACAAAACTCAAGTTCAAGAATGTAAAATCATGTCTTCTGGAACTAAAACCAAAAAACATTATGACAAAGATTTGGGAGCTAGAAGCTAGCTAGAAAGAAAAGAATCTTTGAGTATTATGGGGGCCCTGATAACTACAAAAAAATTGTATGATATTGCCTAAGCAGCTTGAGCAGGGAAGCTAAAAAGACCCCTAAACCACTTAGCAACTCTGCCTATAGGATAGTCTACAAGGAACAGTAGGTGCAGCAGACCTGAAGATTGAGTTAGAAAAGTTCAAGAACATTTCTACTCATGGTGCCTGTGATATTGTGGCTTGAGACTCTAGTGGCTGCTTGAGTACTTGCGTGGACTCATTCATCTTCTCTTCCTGTTTCCCTCGGCCACTTCTTACCTTGAAAGCCCCAGATAAATGTCCCTTGGTTCAGGTTGGCTGGCAGCTGCGTGAATAAGTTTCCCCAGTTGTCCAGATCCACCAACACAATGTGAGTCATGGTACTCAGGTAGTCAAGGTCAGGAAGTTCACTGTCTTCAAGGGGATAAAAAGGAGGCATTTTAAGGTCACCTGACTGTCTGGTCAACCAACATACATCAACTCAGACATGCTTTTAAAATTCAAGTATTCAATCATTCCATAAGCTGACAGTAACACAACATGATGCTATTTGGGGGCTGCATTGTTTCAGCAGTATTTTTACATCAACTGAAGTAGCATTCAGTAATGCAAAAATTAGATAAAAGAGCAGCATCTAGCAGGATGACGGTGAAGAGCTGGACAGATGTGGCAGGAACAGAGAGCCCTTGTCATTCACTGAGACACTGATGCTTTTAACAGCACATTCAACTATACACCCTCCTGCTATGGCAAGTCCGTTACATTTAATTACATGCATAAAAGCACATAAAATGTTTAGAGACTTACTTTTTGCTGTATATCTAACAGAAATGTCAACCTTTACATCAAGAAATGACATCATGAGTAATTAAAACCTACTCCTGATTTTTGAACTCATAAAACACACCTTTGGCATTCTTGATGTCATTCTTAGAAGTAACAAGAATCAAAAAAAACACAAACACAATTGGATTTTTTTAGGCAAAGCCAACCCAACACATACTGTGAACAGAAATTCTCAGCCACAGTTTTTTTGGCAAGTTAAGCACAACTGAGAAGATGGTGTTACAATAGAACTACCCACACAGAAAGCACTATCATCCTCACAAATACGTATACATAAAAAGGAGTAAAGTTTCCTTTGAGTGTGTGTGTATATTTCCAGTCCATTTTGCATTTCTAGGCATTAGATCTCCACCTGGAGTCATTAATTGTCCTTCTTTTATCACCAAATTAGGCTCCCAAGCAATTTGAAAAATTAAACGAGAGCGCCTTTGGACTGAAACATTTCTCTGCCTTTTTGTTTTTCAGGACTTCATGCATAAGGTATACATCAATAAAATGTAGAGTTCAAGTTCTGGCAACTTGAATCTCAAGAATTCAATGTGCTACTTTGAGAAATAACAGATTAAATTCTGAACCGATTTATAGACTGGATATAGGAAAATGATTTGTTACATACTCACACCGACATTCAAACAGAGTGTGTTAAAATTAGCAATATTCTTCTAATGTAAAAACCTCCCAGTTTCTACATACCTTCACCGGGCTCTTCACAGTGTGCAGAGTTTTCTTTTTTTTCTTTCTTTACAGGGAATGGTCCCTGCAGAGGAGGAGATTGTGGTTTTTCCTGAGTCTTGGACGGATATGCATGCAATTTTGATTCGTGGGGCTTTTTGTCCACGCAAGCCCCGCTTGCTGTGAACTTGAACACCGTATTTTCCAATTCCGGCGTTAGATCTGATATATCAGGTTTCTGCAAGAAGCAGTGTTTCATGTGATAGTGTTGATGCGCGCTCTGAAGATCGTCAAAGTTTTTGTTGCACGCAGCACACCTGACAACATACATCTCTTGCTTACTTTTCACTGACGCGTGGCAGTTGAGATGACTGTTCAGATCGGTGATGTTCTGTGCAGTTTTGGAGCAGAAGCAACAGCGAAACCATAAGTTTCCTTTTTGCAGCATGGCTTTCTGACAATTCACGTAGTCATTCCTCCTGTTTATTTTGGAGGTGTAACTGGTCCGGCAGCCACAGGTTAAACGCTCTCCCTTTTCTACTGGGAGGAAGTCATCGTCTTCTTTTATCGATACTTCCATCTGTTCAGGCACAAACGCATAGTCCATGCTATGAAGCTCTTTATAATGGATTAGGAATTCTTCCTCCTTGTCAAAGAAGAGATTACCACAAAGGCCACAGAAGAATTTAATTTGTATCTCTTCATTATGATGCTCTTGGAAGTGTCGCTGCAGTGTCCCTACTTTCCGAAAGTGGCTTTTGCATAACCCACAGCAATACCTGTGAAACGCGTGGCTTTCTAGGGACATGCAGTGCTGTTTAACACTGTCTTCAGATTCAAACATCTCCTCGCAAATGCGGCATTGCCATTTTCCCAGAACAGGACTTTTTTCAGGGGACAGCTCCATAGGACTGGGAGTGCGGTCTTTCCTTTCACTGCTGTAAATGCATGCGGTGTCAGAAACTGATGGCACAGGTTCATCTGCTAGAGCTTCTTGCTCGTAATAGTAACTATGTCCACCATGACGTTCAGTCACGTGCCTCATAATATCCTTTTCTTTGAGGAGATCTACAGAGCATGCTCTGCACCAGAAGAGAAAGTTGGTCAAGTGTGCTCCCCCATGGAATCGGCTCATATGCAGGTGGATAATGCTTGAATTTTCAGCAAGCTTTCCGCACACGGCACACTTGTGACAGATCCTATTTGCTGACAAAATGTGGTTTTCTACTGCCTCTTCAGTAAAAAACTTCTGAAGGCATTCACAAAACCAGGCTTTTACCTTGCTAGCATTACTTTGACTTTGGTTTCCTATGTGATCTTCGTTCTTATCTGGCAGTTCACTCTTCCGTTTTGAAGGAGAACCACCTTCGTTGATTGATTCATTCGACGTCAAATGTCTCTTGAGCAATGTTCTTGATCGATCCATAGTGTGGCTCAAATGAGATGAGTCTTTATTTTTTTCATTGATGTGACAGAACATCAAGATGGACTCTTCCATTGTAGCATGAACTTTAACGTTGTGCTGAGTGCTCTGCTTATGCTCGGTGATCTCCTTCTCATCAGCAAGCAGCTTATCACAGCCCTCACAGTGACCTTTTGTCTTAAACACCCCTGCAATCTGGGAGATGCTCTTCCTGGACAGCGCCACGGGGCCAGAATTACGACAACGTGTTCTAGAATGGATTAAAAAAGTACAATAAAGGCATTGTATCACAACCTGAAACATTTTTTTTTTTTTTAAAACTTTCAAATCTACTTTAAAATTTTTCCTAGTAGCTAAGCAATTAGCACGTGAAAGCAGTGTCCTCTGTCCACTTCAACTGACTTACTAGCTTGTCAACAGAACTATGCAATGCTTAGTTGCACCTTAAAGAGAATTAAGGTGCTCTTTGCACCTTAAAGAGAATTAGGTGCTAATTTCCAACACTAGCACTTATGTTTTTAACAAAGTACATTTTAGAAATCAAATGTTGACAACTCAGAAACAGGGGAACAGAGACCAATAAAATCCTGTTCTCTGTTACAAGAAGAATATAAACAAAAAGGATAAGATCAGCATTCTGCAGTGGATTGCATGGAGTAAGGGAGGGTAAAAGACATGGAAAGGAGGTATTTTTTTGTGACAGTTTACCCATTAAGTCAACATTCAGATGGTCTTAGATGCCCTGAAATCCACTAGCACCAGTACAAGATACATCTGTGCAGGTTATACAAGCACATCACTTATCAGTACATGGGTATTAGCGTTATAAAGACAGCCACCGCCCACGAACCTGAAATGAGCTGTTAATTCCATGTGTGAGCGCAGTAACTGGGAGCAGGATATGCACTTCACTTGGAAGGGGACCTCTTTGCAGAGAGATATCAGCAGTTTCTTTGCATATGATGGGAAAGGCAGAGGAAAGCCATCCTTCTTTTCTTCTGTAATGTAGAATGGCAGAAAGTGCAACCATACATTAAGGAATTCTTTCATAACATTTCAGCTTTCAGACAAGGTTTCTACAGCTGTGTTCATTTGTCACAGGGTTCAGAAATGGAGTTACCGTGTGTCAGCTGATCCCCAGTATTTGTGCAATAAAAGTTTTAAAAGTTTAAACTGCATTAATATGTTAAAATACTCTAACAATCTCATATCTGCATCTTTAGCATCTTTTTTTTTTTTCCATATTCATTGACTATCTGTTTCCCTTTTTGTCCTTGTACAAGTTCAGGTCAGCTATCTCTCTCAGGAAGGTTCTTAGACTCGCTTCACCTTAATCTATCACCACCTGTCTTCTCTTACTACATATACTTTTCCTTAAAGTCATGGTGTGTTTAAAAAAGAAAAAAAATAATGCAACTCAATAACAAGTTTGATCACCTTTCTCTTTCCCATTCTTAGTGGGACTTTTCCTTGTATTTTTAGAATTTTTTGCTGTTCTGAGCATACTCCATGGATAACTCCAGGTACTAGCCAAATAAAAAAAAATATTCTGTTGAAAAGAGAATGGTAAATGGCTTACAAACTGTGCACTGCTGTCAATGTTCTGCATCTTACGAGGCAGGAAGGTTCCTTCAAAGCTTCTCTTCACTACGTAAATCCTGCAGCCACACTGGGGGAGGCCACAAAGGTAAGTATGTTTACCAGGATGAGAAATTGTATTGGTCCTTTTGACCATGTATGCTTATCCTGAAAGCTACTCTATCTAAAACGTGGCAGCTTCTTGAATAAGAAGCCAGCTCCATCTATCTGTCACCTACCTCAGCCACTTGCCTAATGTTAGAGTAAATGCTTTAATGCCTATTGCATATGTCAAAGCTGAGAAGTCAGCTTTGTCAGCACAGTCTGACAGGTCACCGACCCTGTTTTCAAGAGCACGATTATTCAGACATCTGTGGAATCTAGAAAGCAGGGCTCAGGATGCTACCAGCTCACAACGTAACCAGGAGCTTAGCCTTCAGCAGCAACACTACCACTGCAAGGCACCAACCCTGCTGCATTGTTCTAGCTAAGCTGATGAAATCTGCAGTTATATGGTGAAGGAACTTTCGCTTATTTATTTTTTTTCTCAACAGGTGTGCCAAGGACACAGATAAGAAAAATCATCTCCAGCAGATTTCAGACAACACAGTAGGGGGCAGGAACATCACAGCCGGACTGGACTGAAAAAGACAAGTTTTGGTCCAGGTTTCTATCAATACATTAAATGTAAAACTATTTAAGACAGTATGAATTTAATACAGGGTCACGGGAGGATGAGAAGCTTGTATGAGAGGACTGAGGAATCACTTCTACGGAAAAAATGTAAACTTCAAAGCATCTCCTCTTACAGAGCTTGTAACACCTTACAGAATGCGTAAGGCCTTAAAATAAAAATAAGAACTCATTCAAAACAAAATTAAAGGCCTTAGATTTTTCTGCTGTGTAAAAAACTTAAATCACTTCACATTGTAAAGAGAAATTATCAGAAGGAATGGAAAGCACACACAGTACACTTAGAAACAACGTACCAAGCAATTCATAAACCTGTAGGAAGTGCTTCTTTCCTGACATATGCTGCAAGCACTCATCTCTTTTGGTGAAGAGGAGGAAGCACTGGGGGCATGCAAAACACTGAATGTGCTGTGGAGGGAGATCTTTTTTATGTCCGTCATTTTCGTTTAGCTGGAAAATAAAATCATTCGATGAGGAAAAACACTAAGCCAACAAGGCAGTCCCATTTCTCCTCATGTCCTTCCATTCCCCATCCCTCCCTCCCCCTGTTTATCTACAGGCTATGTGCTTCAGCTTGTGAGGCACAAGGCCCAACTCCCATTGTATTAAACTCATCCTTACTGCACTGGTAACTCTCCCGTTCCCTTCTTGCACCACTGCTGGCAACTGCTTTCTGTCAATTCTTAACAAGTCCCTTTATCAGGCTCTCAAAAAAAAAAGCTCCCGACCAATCTGTGACTCTTAAAATCACTCTCTTTGCCTTCTACACAACTTCAAGTCTCTGCTTTTAGGGCAAAGGTCCTTTAATTCTTTTATGATGTTTTTGCTTAGTCTTTTCTTCTGTTTCCCCAAAGAATCTGCATGACACGTTCATGCTTTCTTCCAAAACTTTGTTTAGGAAGTGATAACTCACTTTGTTATCTCCCCTTCCTTTCACACCAAAGTAATCCTATCCTTACACGCTACAAGAGTCACTTCCTTTCACCAAACTTGTCTCTAACTCCTGCTAACAACCCTGGACATAACCATATTGGTTATTAAATCACTAAACTTTGAAGATGCTATCTGGTATCCAATTCAACACCAAGCTGCTTAAATAAAACCAGGCACCCTGAAGGTAACAGCTGAGCACCTGTCACTGAACTGAAGGGAAAATCAGAGGACATCAGAAAAGAAAGAAGGGATAAGAAAGGAGGCAAGGAACAACAACAAAAAAAGCAAGTACTATTAGCTTATGTTCGAATCAAGACTCAAACGCTAGATTATCCTGTTCCCTTCTGTAAATTAACTAAGTAATGGTAGACACATGTATCCATGGAGAGACTAAACACAGGAAAGAGTCACTCAAGTTTCTTTTTTCATCCTGTTGCCTCTTTTTCTGATCTCTTTTCTGCTGTTCCTCTTTACGTCCCCTTCCTTCACCCTAACCTCAATGCCTTCATCTTTTGTAGTTCTGGAGACACGAAAAAAAGGGAATACCTTTTGACAGCACCAACAAGGACAAAAGGTTCAAGGCAGACCTACAGTCCCCTTGGAAGCACACCGCAGAGTACAACGTAATGGTCAGATTTAATGGCAATGCTGTCCGGATACACCAAGTGTTTGAAACACAGCAGAATAAGAAAAACTATTTGGAAGCCTAAATCAATGGAGGTGGGGTGGAAGAGGGTTTAAAGGACAAAAAACAACAACGTATAGTTATATATCTTGATAACCCTCTATTATGTTCAGTCAGGTGAGTTACTTATCCTTTTGATCTTGCCTTAGATAAAAGATGATCAGTGTACTGCTGTAAGGTGGAAAATCTTTTGCAGCATATCACACAGGCAACAGCATTATTTGGGGGTCCATGCAATGTGACTGTTGGGTCACAAGGAGAGTGATCAAACCTAGAGAGGAAGAAATAATTAACAAACTAGGCCCCTCTCAACAGTGAAAAGTGTTTTTATTATTTTTTTTTAAATAGGAAAATTTGGGTCTTTTGAAGCTACTGGACAACAACCTATCAAATCAACCTAACCTGCAAAATTCCTCACCTGTCATTAGCTGTATCAGCTGAAGTATCCCATGCAGAGCCAATTCTCTCTGCAGCAGATCAGTTATAATGAACTATTTGTAGAGGACTTACACTGTTTTTAAAAGTGAGAGAACTAATCAAATCTACGTTTCCTAAAGATTTTTTTTTAGCTTCCCTGTATTGTTTTTGGCTGGAATAGAGTTAATTTTCCATACAGTAACTTGCATGGTGCCGTGGTTTGGACCCATGACCAAAACAGTGGTGATAACTCACTGATGTTTTACTTGTTGCAGAGCAGTGCTCACACAGAGCCAAGGACTTTCAGCTCCTGCTGCTGCCCTGCCAGCGAGGAGGCTGGGGGTGCACAGGAGCTGGGGGGGGACACAGCCAGGACAGCTGGCCCAGGCTGGCCAAAGGGATGTCCCACACCATGTGGCGTGAAGCTCAGAAATAACAGCTGGGGGAAAAAAGGAAGAAGGTGGGGGGATGCTCAGAGTTATGGTATTTGTGTCCCTAAGTAACCATTATGCGTGATGGAGCGCTGCTCTACCAGAGAGGCTGAACATCTGCCTCCTGATGGGATGTAGTGAATGAATTCCTTGTTTTGCTTTGTGTGTGGGTACAGCTTTTGGTTTACCTACTAAGCTGCCTTTATCTGAATCTATGAGATCTTTTACCTTTCTGATTTTATTCCCCTTCCCAGTGTGGAGAAGAGGGTAAGCAAGTGGCTGTGAGGTGCTTAGCTGCCTACTGGGGTTAACCCACAACACTCCCCCTTAGTTTTTCCCCTTACCAGCTTCCTGCTATGAACACACATCTGTCCTATAGCTACTCTTTGCTCATCTTTCTTTTCATTAGGAGCATCTTAACCTTTTGCTCTTTTTCAAGTTTGGATGAAGAAGTAACGTAACCGGAGATCAGAAATGTTGTTTCTCAGAAAACCAGGTATTAGAAGTACTTAGCAAGTGGAAGAAATAAATTTGGAATGAAAAACAAAACAAAAACAACTACAAAAGAACAACTAGCCAGGAAGTTTAATCACATCTGTATAAAATCTGCAACACATTAACCTACCCTCCAAATGAGTTTTTGTCACTTTAGGCAGTTTAAAGTAGATTTGACGTATATGTTGTAAGCTTGAACATAGTTTCACTACTATTTCTTGCATTATGTCCTTACCTTTTCAGGTGACCTAGGAGAAGATGCCCATTATCAAAATTTCTGTTGCAACGCATCACAGGACAAGAAATGGGACTGCTGTTGACTTGTGTCTGACTTCCCCTCTGATAAGCACCCCTTCTTCCACTGTTAACAGTGCCTGGTTTGAGACCTGTGTTAGAAAACAAAACACTTAACCACAATGTCAAATATAGAGGCTTAAAAAAAAAAAAAAAAAGAAAAAGCAACACAAAAACACAAAACCAACATAACCAAACCCACAAAACCTAAAGCATTTAGGAATCAGGTTACATTGATTCTAGAAGTATGCTAGCAGTGCACTGTAATGCAATCCTACTACAAAAAGTCTCCCGTTTCAGCTGAAGAATCTCTCTCTTCAATCCCCAGTTAGATTACTTCTCCAATACTTTGACACACTTCTTCCAGGTCTTGCATGAAACATTTTAAAATTGAGATTAAAAAAAAATAAATCAAACTGAAGTTATACTTATTTATGTAGGCATACTTTCCTGAGCAACAGTTCAATAAATGTTTTCCTTCTGACAACTTTGTAGTAGAAGTTGTTAGCACTGCCTTAATGGCTTTTATACTTCTTATATTTATTTTTCTAAGCAACAAAACGTTTGAAGAATAGTTTTTGTGGAAACTAGTACAAAGTTCAGACTCTAAGATTTGGTTATGAGTAAGAGGCACCTGCAAGCTCACTGGCAGTATTGCTTAATGCAATTATCAGCTGTTCTATTCTGCAATGCAGCACTTAGAAATCATCACTACTAAGTGAATTAGCAGTGACTCAGAAAACACATCACCAAAACCTAGTTTCAGCGTACACAAATAAATGCTGATTGCTCCTATAATGCATTCACTATTAATCTTTGGTTCCTTATTAAGTATTTGAAACCCCATCATTCCTATACTTACCTGGCATTTTTAACCACTGGTCCACGCATAATCTTGCGGCTTCTGTGTCACTGTGTTCCCGAATAAATTCTAGTTCCTGCAACCCGTGAGCATACTGGGAATCAACTTTCTCCTGAAGGTGAAAATATGTAAGGCAAGGTGTTAGACTTTTTTTTTTTAAATTCAAAATTAAACATGTATATCAAGTTAGACTTTCAAAGTTTACATGTGGCTCTCTACAATTTAAAAAAATAAAGAAAAAATTTAGAATGATTGGACTGACTTCTATATAACACAAAGGTGGAATATAACAGCAATAAAATAACAAGAGAAGAGTGTTAAGTTTTGTGCCCTAAATAAAGGCTTCAGCTCTTGAAATATGCTTGCTGAAAATAATAAGTGAAAAACTTCAAATATTGATCTTTTCCCTCTTCATTCCCTCTGAGAATATTAATCCTGACAGTACAGAAAATAAAATCTCCACTAATGTCACAATCAACTAAAACATATCTGTGTACTGAGTATCTTCGGAGAAATACAGCTAATAAAACTTGACCAGACTGGCCAAATGGGAAGTTATAGAAATAGTTTTCTTCTCAAATAAATTCAAGAATACTAACAAACACAGCTCAGGTTTTCATATGGCCCACAGGAACACCACCTCCTAAATAGATACTTTTATAGAGCAACTATTCACAATATATAATTCCTTTGTTGGAGAAAAAAGTCAATTAACTTACTTCTCCCACACTTAGTTAAGTTTGTCAAGCATAACCAGGCTGTACAAACAAATAATAATAGAATGAAAAATAAGTAAGAAAAAGCTTTTCCTAGCATTTTCCTAACACCACCCTTGGTGACACAAGATTTTATGTATCTATTTGAAAAAATAAACTGCGTTGAAAGCCACAAACAGAAAAATTTCTTAAGTTCTACTAGTTACTAAAACTTAGCTTCTTAGATGGGTCAAAGCTAACTATGACAGCTCATTATCCTGAAATAATTCCAGATACTGAACAAAAAATGTCAACCTGCCTCAGCTACATCCCATTTTACCCACTGGTCTTGTTTCTACAGAGGGGTGTGTGTGTTTTCCAGATACCAGCTATCCGGTGGCATACCGTTATAGGACCATCAGGCTATGGCAAGGTACAGGGCCATGACCCATGTGCAGCACCACCACAGCTTAGCCCAGCCAGCGTTTTCCTTGCTCCCTGTCACTCATGCTGTACATACGCACACTGAGATTCTGTAATGTCTCAGCTCTGCACTCCTTATGCTTCTTATTCTGTATGTCAAATATCACACGTCAAAGAGTCAAAAAGAGTGGAAAACAGCAGGAAAAAAATGTGTCTCACTTGAAAAAATACTTACTGCTATAGCAAAAACACAGTATGCTATCTATTAGTGGCCAGGGCTGTTAAGCTACAGTCCAATCACTGCCTTAAAAATCACAGAATTATGGGGCTTATTACCCTGTTGTTCCTGAGAAGACATCAGAAAAAACACCTGAAAGTACACAACAGCAACATCTGTAAACATCTCAAATTTCAAGCACTGCACTTAAAAACATTTGGGTGCTGCACAGGGCTCCACTGCCTGTCTCCTGTCTCTGAGATGAAAACTTAATGGTGCATTTTGCAGATGGCAGCTCATGCTTCCAGTGCTCAGCCTGGCACGCAGGCTGCAGCATATTAAGTCCCTTCCCGTAGCAATGTGCACATCACATTATTCACACATTATTCTAGTGATCTCCTGGCTGGTACCATACCTGATAATAGCAAATCATCGGACTGAGGAGAGTACTTTCTGCTTTTTGGGTAATTTGTATCAATGCATCTTCTTCCAGAATTTGATGACTAGTAATAGTGATCACCTGTTCCTTTGCAAAGATGGTGTTTACATCTCAGATTCTAACCTTCACACCTTCTTCAACAACAGTATAAATGAAGACAACGTTACCTCATAGTACAGCAATTGGCTGAAAAATCTACTTCTTATTTTACACAGAGAATCAGAGACATTTCAAAATGTAGGAAAAGAGGGCTTTACATGTTGAAAAAAAATAGAAGTTGCCTCTGTAATATGCCCACAACACAAACACATCAACTTCTGTATTCTAAGGGCTTCATTTGCTGGCTCCAGGTAAGGTGCTGAACACCTGGCTGCTCTGCAAGTAAAAGGAGATTGGGGAAATTCTTGTAGAGAATGTGGTCATTCAGAAAAGGAGAGGTTGATGAATGCTGTTTGGAGGGCACAAGAGGATGAAGAGTAGTCCACCCAGTACTCCTTGACAGAGATTATTGAAGGACCACTTACCCAATAAATCACAAAAAGTATAGACTTTTAAAGACAAGAATTAAATGCCACAGTTAATGATGAGGGTGTTACATGTAATCTTTCACTCTGAAAAACGAGAGAGAAACCCTACTACCTCTTAGCAAGCAAGAGCACAACTTCCTTTTCTCCTCACTGATTTTAGGCAACAGCCACATGACAGAGTAGACAGTCCTGTTTCCTCACATATATTTTAAGAACAGGCCTCCTCTGATGTGATACCAGTTTTGATTCTTTTTTTCAAGACGAAAGAATGTTTGTGCCAAATATTACAAGACATGACAGTTTCTTTACAAAGAGCCATCTTATGTTTGAAAAAATTCGAGGCATGCAGCCTGAGCATTCTCATACAAACGCATCTCAAGGCAATGACTACATCAGTGTGCTGTCTTTTAGGCTTGTTCATTTTCACAAGATTGGCTGCTCTCAACTCCCCAAGTTCTGCTACTCTTCAGCTTTCAAAAAGGCATGGCAAGGATTTGCAGATCACATAAGATTTTTCTATCATCACTTCCAATCCCAGATGACAAGAATTCTTCAAAATGACAGTAAAGATTCCCCAAGCATATTATAAGGAACTCTGAAAATATCCAATGCTCTGCAGCCTTCAAATATTTACTGTTTAGATACCTCTTACACAGAAAGAATGTTTCACAGTAGCGTCAGCTTAATTCTGTCAGTACATCTTCTCAAGTTATTTAGTAAAGCCTAGAGCCATGGAAACCTCATCTAGACCAGACAGAACATTTGGAAATAACAGTTTGGAATAAATAATCTTACACTGGAAAATCTATCCTAATGATTAAAATTCTTATTCAACACAATTTTCTGTTAACAGCATCTCTCCCTATTGAAAGACCACGGTGTGACCACCACTTTCAAGGTGAGTTCAGCTGGTCAGATCAAGAATGAATTTTGCCCAGCCAGCACATCCCTCAAAAATGGTTTTTCAATCCCTTCAACAACTACACCCCTCTAGCAATTGATTGTCAGTGTTAGGGTGGACTTCTCTTACTACTAACTTCAGTCAAGTTCACTTTCACAAAAAAAAATATATAAATCTCTCTAAATCAATTCAAAAAGCCATTACAGATATTACATTAATAGCTTGAACAAACTACATTGCTGTACAGCATACCATTAGCAGCTAATGCACGTGTTCCTCTCAAAGCAAATTTATTCTTCATCTTTAGAAAAACTGCTAGCTTGCTTTGAGGTTCAACAACCAAAGCAAACAAGAGCCAAAAAACATGCACACGCAAGGTGGCTAAAGGCAACCTATCTCAAGAGATAGCTTTTGTTATTTCTGGTTTGGACTGTGGTTTTTCTGTGGTTAAGCATAGAAAACCTCTTTTACAGACAGAAACAAAAGTTACCACGACTGGGATGGAAACCTTTTCACAGAAAATATTCTGGTATATGGAGGAAAGAACCTCCTCCATGGCTTCAGGAGTGGACTCAAGTGGACTCAAAAGGAGCTCCCAAATGGACTCCCTTCTTTTCCCTGCAGCACGCAGCTATCCGCACAGTGATCAAATCAAATGATCAAATTTGATCACTGATCAAATACCATATCAGCTGTGAGCATCAAAAGGATGCCTTATCTTCCACAAACCACACACCGGTGTATCTGTGAGTGCCATACAGCTCTCTCTTTGAAGGAGACAGATCTGTGGTTGGACACACACAATTCCCCTCATCTCCTAAAGCTAGATAACCTTAGCTCCCTAGCTAAACCTGGCTCACAAGCTTGCAAACAGGTAATTCCCATTATAGTGCAGCCTGATACAGCATTAAATGAATGCCAGACTGGGACTGCAACAGTGTTTCCCATTTCGTAGTATATTTCATGACTAATAAAAAGCGATTTTTTAAAATATCCTGAAAACAATGTTTTAAGGAAACAGTGCTTCCAGTAAATAAAAGTGTTTTTTTTTTTTTTAATATAAGTAAATTTTAGATTTTTTCTTGTATTACAGAGCTCTAGTAGAGGATTCTTTTCCTTCTCTGTCCCTTCTCTTGAAAGCAAATCTGTTGCTAAATCTGGCCATGGAAGCAGAACATCTCACTGTCAAGATGCATATAAGGAAGAAATCTTCAGAATAATCAGAAATGTCAGCACGTTTTTTTTCATTTTGCATGTATTTTTATATATGAAGAAACAAAATATAGGAAACAAGAATACTCTGTAATACAAGTGACTGTGTTTTCCAAAGCCTGAAGATACAAACGTCTGTTGGAGAACCAAAGTCAGCACAGGTCTGGCAAAATCATCGGCAGATAGCAATAAAGGATCCTTCTTTCTGTGGAAAACCCACACAATCTCAGCTCAATCTCCCTGCCAGAGGTAAGAGGCACAGTGCTGCTAACAAAGCTCCGGGGCAGTGGGAATGCCCTGAGCTCAGACTCAAGGCTCAGCTCAAAGGTGTCCCAAGGATTTATGCACAGCACTTTCTGCAGCTTTGACCATGATGCAGAGGAGGTTCATACAAGATGTTCTGTGCTAGAAACAGCAAATTAACAGGATCCTGGTAATTCCTTGTGTCACCAAAGCAGCCAAAAAGTTTGATTAAAAAAAAAAAAAAGAATTAAAAAATAAATAAAAATGGAACAGAAAACGGCCACTGAAACCAAACAGCTTGCTCCACTGCCAAGCCAAAAAAAAAGCCAAAACACGTGGGCAAGTTTCACTATGAAAAGTAATTGTAACTCTGCAGACTGCATTACCTGTTGCCACCCAGCAGGAAAACATTCATCATCATCAAAGGATTTCCTATCCTTCACTCTCAGACTATTTCTAAAGCTACATAGCTATCGCTGACTCTATAGCTCAAAAACTGCATGTGGAGACGTTAACAAATTGCCAAATTCTACGTGGAGGAGGCAGGAGAGGGATGTAGGCCTCTGCTCAAAGCTACCTTAGGCTACTACATCCAACAGACTTTTACTGGGTTGCATTACAGTTGCAGAGTCTGTAGTGGACTGTAACAGCCCTTGTAACTGTAGTGTAATTGGGTGGCTTTAAAGGTCATTACCAGTGGTTCAGAAAACTGGGCTAGAAAGCCAGCACCTTTAGGAAAGCAATTAAAAAAAACTTTTGGTTCATGAAATTATTCCATAATATTTCATTAAGTTATCAACTCCTTCAGGTTGGAAGGGATATCAAGAGGAATTAGTCCAACCTTGTGCTGAAATTGCAGGTCAGCTATGGGGTCAGGCCAGGTTGCTCAGGGCTTTATCCACTTGGGTCTTGAACACCTCCAAGCACCGTCTGCACAACTCCTCTGGGAAACCTATTCCAATGCCTCCTTATCCTCATATTCAATTCTTTTCCTCTCTACCATGTACCCAGACAGAACTTTTCCTTTTTCAATTTACGACCACTGTCTTATGTTCCTCTGCCACACACGTAAATAAAAAGCCTGACTTTGTGTCCTTGACAATCTGCCTGGAGGCACTGGGTGTTGCTGTTAGGTCCCCCTGAGGCTGCCTCTTCTCCTTGCTGACCAAGTCCAGCTCCCTCAGCCTCTCCTGACAGGGAAGTGCTCCAGCCTCTGACCATCTGATAGACTTGCCCTATTTATTAATCTTTTTCTTGTACCACAGGGCCCAAATCCAGTTATAGCATTCCACCCACATGTGGTCAAATGAGTGCCAAGGGCAATAATCAATCCCTTCCCCTCCATCCAATCCAGATCATATAGCTCACGATCCTGTTGTAACCCTCTGCTACCAGGGCATGCTGCCTGCACTTTGAGCCTACCACCCACAAGGACACTCAGGTGTTTGTACACAGCTGCTCCTCAGGCAGTCAGTCTCAGCCTGTATCAGTGGAGGGAGTTGCTCTGTCCCTGGTGCAGCACTTCTGTACATGTCCTTGTTTAATTTCACGAGATTCTTGTCAGTCCATTTCTTCCAGTTGACCACGTCTGCCTGAGAGCAGCCCCGCCATTAAGCCTGCTGACTGCACCTCCTAGTTGGTACTACAAACAAAAATCCATGCCTTCCAAATGACTGCACCATACAATTCATAGGATTTGGCTCTGCAGTTATACCTTTAACTTACAAAATATTGTCTCATTACAAAATAATACCTGATACAGACAATTAATGTGGCAAACAGCATTCTAAAAATCTCAGACAAAAGCAACTATTTCACTAGATTTGCCAGATGGTTTTGTGATAACTGGTATTCTTTGATTATTTAACCAGAATAACTGATACAAAGGTCCCTGTGCCACACACACTAACAAGTGAACTGGTTTTTGCATTTTGCATGAAGTTACTACCTTTTCCTCTTAAGAACTGCAATAAGACTACCAGTTAAAGGCCACTGAAGATCAGAAGTCCGTATCATATTTCAAACAATGCCCCAGAAACAAAAATCTAGGTGTTAGTTCCAGGCTGGGCTCACCAATCTTTTTATTCACTTAGTAGTGAAAACACAGTTGTGACTACTGTACTATGCACTTCTACTGAAACAAGAACACATCCAGTACCTTAAAGGCTTTGTTTTTCTCTTCCTTTTGCTGTTTCTCTACTTCAACGTGGCGTGCCAGACGATCCAGTGTTGATGCAACTCGTTCTTTCTGATAGTCAATGTGATCTTTACGCCTAGCATTTCTCTACAATTAAAAAGTTAAAACTTTTATTTGGTAACTATTACGTTAGTAACAGACCTTAATACAGTAAAAAGCAATGCCCAAGCAATCAGGATGTAATTCAGTACAAATAGTTTGATCTTAAGTTCCTACAAGTCATCACAAGGGAGTGAGACAATGCACGTACAGAAGATCTGCCTTCCCTTATGACCCAGGTTTATTGCACACAAGTCCAGAGACAGCCACTGCTGACAAAATCAACTGCAGTAGCTTGCTCTCAGTCACTGTCCCTCTCAAAAGTCCCACAGAGTGGACACAAGAAGCTTGGGGGATACATGAATTGACCGGCTTGCATCTGACTCAAATCCTTAGGACAGTTTACAAAGAATGAAGTTAGGGACCAGGCTGAGAGCAGAATAAGATCCTACAGCCTAAGCACTCCTCCTAAAAAGTCCTCGTGGAAGGAAAAGGCCTCAGATTAGGCAGATACATTTACAGGCTTCAGAATGAAAATTGACTTCTAAAGTCACTTTTAAAGAGACATTTTCCTTCCCTTTTAGTCATTACAGTTGTCAGAAACACTGAAAGACAAGTAAAAGCTCTAAATTCATTATGAGAAGGCAGAAAATGTTTCTGGAAAAAATGAACTGTTAGCCTATTTTTCCTAATTACTCAACATTAGGTAAAAAAAAAAAAAAAAAAAAGACTTAAATACTAGCTTATTTATTAATTACTTGTTAAACTACCTCTAACAAGTTTTCCATGGAGAGTACTGGACGGGAAAAATACAAGAGACTACTTTATTTATTTCTTTTTTCTTCTAACTGAGAAGTCCCAAGATACGTTCCAACGTACTCACATGATCGTAAGAACTGCTGTTGGGTTCTTCATCTTCACTACTGACCAGATCGATGCATTCAAGTACAGGTCTTAAGGGTCCTTCCTGAAAAAGCGTTAAAAACACACACATACAAAAGCATAACATTGTGTTCCTTGAAGGTGCAGTATTGCTCTCATTAGAGAACATTGGTAGCACTACGAATATTTTAAGGGGAATTTCACCAAGGTTCCAAGAGAGTGTATTAACAAAATTCCTGAAGGACAACTTAACAGACTTAGGCACAAAATTGATAAAATATGCACATATAGGAGATATTTGCAAATAATTCAAGTATCAACTTAACATATAAACATCAACTACCAAAAATAAAGTGAATGATCATGGCCTGCTTAAGAGCCTTACACTCTTCACCTTCTCAATCAACTTAAAATCTGTATTTTAAGTTAGAAACGTTCAACTTGTGCCATTACTTCAACGGTACTAGGGTATCAGACTATCACCAAGAAAGGAATAGTTTTAGATTTTACTAAACACAACTAAATGGTGGTAGTTTTTTCACAGAATCACTTTTTTTGGTTTTGTTTTTTTAAAAAGACACAAATTAAACTCCAACTGCAATGTAAATTAAACTCCTGAAGGACTTCAGATATTATGAAAGTGAGAAATAGCCTCACACACATTTATAACCTGAAGTCTATGCCTTTCTAAGGATGTTGTCCTTGAATGTTTCCTGATACAGGCATCTTGAGAAACTTCACACCTAATTGTATGCGACCTCAATGACCTGCTAGTCTAGATATTATCAACACCTGATGATTTACATGCCATCAAATCCCTCCATTTTTACATTCTGTCCAGTGCTATTGGGTAGATAGCAGAACATCGTGACAAACATAAAAAAACAAACGAAAAAGAAATCATACTTTTATGCTTTAACTAATGAGACTCTAATAAGCAATCAGGTCCTGTATTTTTGGAGAAGACACACAATACATCTCGAGCTCCACGCACACCTATTGTGATGAGTCTTCCAGTTTTAAAGGCAAAAAGAAGCACTATGTCCACAGTCTGATGTCACACACATAAAAAAACAACAGCAATAAGCAACGTATCATGCTACAACATCATCACATCTCACCTAGATAATCAGTAAAATAAATTTTGAATAGGAAAAGTAAGCCTACATACACCAAACAAAAATATGCCTAGCTACTCTACCTCACACCCCTGGTCACTGCCTAGGAACATAGACAACTTCCCTAGTAATTATGTTGGCCTCATTTTTGTGACAATTATGCACAGAAGAGAGGCAAAGTTAACTAAAAATCTCCACATGCTGTAAACAGCTTCCCATCCAAATTTATTACATCCCAATCCCAATCCTGCTAGATTCTGAAAGCAATTATCTAACCTCAAAGTCAATAAACAAAATCAAAGATAGTTTTCTTTTTTCTTTTAATTTTGCACAGGCAATTCCATCTACGCCATGTAGTATTACACCTTTGTCTGTCAATGCTGCTGGCAGATGCCACACAACCATTAATAACTCCACAGGTGTTCCTTATTGTTGGAAGCTAAACTTCCCAGGTGGATGAAGGACTCCAGGCCGTCAACAATTCACTGATTTCTTGAGGAGGCGCAGTACTGTACCCACTACCTCTGCCATATCTTTGGCAGTGTCCTGAACATCTTAAAAATCAACCAAGGAGGGCAGGCTATGAGGATATACTGCCTCCTGAGAAGTAGCAGAGAACTGCAGCAGCATGTAATTCTCTCCACTGTGTTTACTGCATCTCATTCTTTCCATTCTTCCACCTTTCAAGGCCATAAAGCTGCTGAGCTGGGCAGGCATAAACAGCCCTCACTGTCTCTCACGGGGAAGGAACAGGGACGAGACCTTGGACAAAGGACAAAATTTATACGAATTCAGCTGCAGGACTCACATTACCCCTGAAGAGTGCTTAAATTCTAAGAATTAAATAAGGAGAATATAGGTTTTCTAAACTAAATCTGAAGAATCCACAATGGATTAGCTTTTGTAGAAAACGACAGCCTCTATAAATCTGTAAGAAATGAAAACCTCAGAAGAAACAACAGGTGCTTGCACGTCACAGCTCAAAGACTGCCATCAGAGCATCCGACCGTCTCATCAGTTCAGCAGGGGGGTTTGAGATGTTCAAGTCTGGTTCTGACAGCTGTGGCTCACTCAAATGAAAAGATTTTCCTTACTTCTCTTTATTCGATTCCCTTGGTTCAGCTCAGCAAGCAACTACTCCAAAGTTAGGAAACTGACAACTGAAAAGCAGAACGATAACCTGCTTTCAAGCCTAATGATCACAACAGTAAATTCAATTAATTATAAGAAGTATTTCACTTGTGTAGTGTTGTTTGCATGCACAAAACATTATTCTTCCTTCTGCATTTAATACTTTTTACTAAACATTTTTTAATGCACTTGTTAGTTTGCATTCCAACTTGAATACAAATGCAATATGGCAAATTTTTAAAATTACTTCTCAAAGATATACATCCTTATTTCCCTCCCTCCCCTTTTTTGTGGAAAAGGGAAAAATAAGAAAAAATAAATCTATCTGGCTGTATACACTCTTGAATAATAATGCAAATCTCAAATGCAGCACTTAGGCTAGTTTGTGCTGCAGTAGTCTAAAGGTTAAGCCACCAACCAAGATTAAAAACAAATACTGAAAAGAACTACAGTCCTGGATCAGATCGACAATTCATCTGGGCTACAGCAGATACCTTGAGAAAGTGGAAAAATCAGGGAAAACAGTGAAATTCTATCCCGAGCATATCTACCTGGCAACTGCTTGAGGTCAACACATGAGGACCCTTGACTGAAAGCTGTCATCAAACATCAGAGCCTGGGTTATCATCAGTTATCAGCTGTCATCAAATGTCAGAGCCTCTCTCTCAGAAGAGACTCCAACACTTCTCTGAGGGAACCAATAGGGATGAGCCTGGCCAGGCTCATCCCTACAGCCGTGTTCCTTTGGTTCCCCATCTGGTTAAACTAAATAGTAGCACAGTGCAAAGACAGTGCCAACCCTGAGGACTCCATGCACTGCAAGAGATTTATGGGCTCCCTAAAACCTCTGTAGCGATTCAAAGAATTCCAATTGTTTTTGATCTATCAATTTTTCTAGTATCGCTGGTTCCTAGCAGTTCCTGCTCACTTCCCTCAGTACGTTTCATGTCACAGCATTCCCAACTCTTTTGCTCCCTAAGACACTTTTCTGTGTCTATACCACTTGAATTATGACTAATAATAACTGTGAATTAAGTTCAAGCAGTAACTGGAAATGTGTAGGTCGCCCCTCAAGTGTTTTAAGCAAGATAGTGTCATGCAGTTATACCACACCCCTTCTCTAGATCTCCAAAAAAAAAAAAAAAAAAAAAAAAAAAAAAAAAAAAAAAAAGTATTAGTTTTCCTAAATCACAGAATCATACAGGCTGAGGTTGGCAGGGGCTGTGTCTGGCTTCCTATAGATCTATGAAATGAAAATAAGTAAATAAAATACATAATGTACACGAACACACACACAACAATCTTTCAAGAAAAAATGAACATGTTGAGATATTCAGCGGGCTTCCCCAACCCAATTTATGCAGTACCACTTGGTGCACTGGGTCCCTGAGACACGCAGTACTTGAAAGATCAGGTAGCATTCATACACAATGCTTATGAAGCCCCTACACATCTAGCCATACACATTATTATATGGAAACACTGATCTAAAAGCTATAAAAATAAATCAGAAATCCTTCTGAAAGGTGCATATTTACTACAGGGACTTGGGTAGTGATCCAACATGGGGATGCAGCCAGTGTCAGACACCTTTCCCCTTGTGTTCATCAGTGACCACAGCAACCTCCCAGGACACCAACCCTGCACAAACAAGGCTAAGCAGCCTTCCTCCCAGACAGGCCAGCCTGTCTCAAACCAGTCATCACAGGAACCACAAAGCATCTGCTGCTTAACACGTGCAAAAACAAGAAAAAAAGGTAGCAGAACCTGCTGATTTTATACGTTTCTTTTCTTTCAGTTGGTGTTCTCAGTTCTACAGCAGCCCTTCAATCATTGCACGCCCAAAGCTATGTTAACTTCCTCATTCTTCACCCAGCAGTTTTAAGAAAGTGAGGCTTATACAATCACGCTACACATGAACACTTGCCCGTTTATTTAAAGAACTCTGAACTCATTAGTCAGTTCTGGTAAAATTCAACCAAAAGATCAAGAAGTCTCAGAGACGATCAAGTACTTATAGGTTTAGCAAAAATATGGGTATGCCCCTTATACCTCAGCACCTAAATACCTGTGCAGAAAGGTGTACAATGAATTTAGTCTTTATCAAACTCCACGAAAAGCAGGAAGAAATTTACTGCCACTTACGTTTTAGCATTAAAAATAAGAGAAATCCATAGGAAGCCACCCATTTTCAGTGCTAGCATCAATTAACGGCTTCTTTCTTATTTGTGGGACTTCTGCTTTAGGAGAAACCATCTTTCTGTGCTTGCACATGTGCCTGCCATCCAGCACCAATTGACTGATGCTGGATTGAGGCTAGAGCACTGGCAGCATGAAAAACACCCTGTTTTCCTTGGGTATTTGACAGATATACATATCTTAAGGTTAGGTGTGTGTAAGGTGAACAGGTAACTGGTGCTGTAGTGTAGGTACAGGACACTGCTGCACGATTTGAGAAGACTGCTTAAGGCCTCTTACCTCGTTACCTTTGATGAGGCTGCTCATTAAGCACCCCGCCACAGGACCAGCAGTTCCTGACCTTGCCGTGTACCCCCGGCCCCCTCGCACCCCCCACTCACCTGCTGGGCTGCTCGGCTCTAGGCTTGCTCATCACCCAGCACCTTCACAACGAAGGGGCCAAAAGCACCTTTGATATAAGCTTTTTATCTGTTTAATACAAACTTGTTATCTTAAAGCTGACGCCGACAACTTCAGATGTCACAATTTTTGCTGATTTTGGTCACATTTGAAAGGCACACGTTAAGTTTTCTGCCCCAAGCCCCCGTTTGCAGGCGCGGGGTCCTACTTACTCCAACAAACTCAATCTCGTCCTCGCTTTCGGAAGCCGACGACCTCCTCTCGGAACCGGCGGCCGAGCCGTAGGGCTCCATCACCTAGGGAGACACAAACCCCAAATCCCCTCACCACCGCGGATTTCAATTTGCCAGCCCCCCCCTCCCCCCAATCCCCAAACCGCGGCCTAACCCAGGCAGCGCCCCGGTGCCGGCGTCCCCAGGGGGAGAAGCACCCGTGGGGGCTCGGCACCGCCCCGGGGGGCTCGGCACCGCCCCGGGGGGCTCGGCATGGCCCTGGGGGGCTCGGCACCACCCCGCTGCCCTCAAAACCCACCCTGGGGCCGCTGCCCGCCGCAGCGCCGCTTCCTCTTCCCCCGGGGGCGGCGGGGAAGGGGGAGAGGCGTGGCGGCAGCGCGGCTTGCCGGGACTTGTAGTCGCCGCCCGGCTTCACCCCCTTCCCTTTCCCCTTCTCCTTCTCCATCCCCCCTCCCCGCTACGGTGCACGGAGCCCGGGGACCCACGCGATGGTGCCGGGACCAGGACCGGGGCCGGGGCCGGCGCCGGCCATAGCGGCGGGCGGCGGCCAGGGCGCGGAGGCGGGAGCGGGAGCGGGAGCAGCAGCAGGAGGAGGCTGTGGGGCGATGGCGCCCGTGCCCTGCTCCCTGCTCGCCCCCCGGACACCGTTGTCCCGGCGCCGGTAGCCGGGCGGGGAACGTTGTGGCCGCCCTGCTTGAAAGAGGCTTCGGTTCTGAGGGAGGGGTGAGGGCAAAACGTGTCCCCCCGCCTTCGGGGCTCCCTCCTCATGCCCCCTGCCCCGCCCGCGCCATGTCTCAGGGGGTGGCAGGGGGTGGAAGCTGTGTGGTAACCACCGGGCCTCGGCTCTGGTGGCTTCATGCAGGGTGGGCAAGCTCTGAAGATTTAAAAGAAACATTACTCTGGGGATCTGCGACCCCTTTTCCCTTATAATTTGAGTTTCCTGGCTGGGGAATGCACTGCGGCAGCCAGGCTGTGTGGGGGAGCGGGGTGGGCGACGGGGATGGATGTCTGTGGTGGGCTCTGCTGCTACAAAATGCTGAGGGAAAATAAACGGGCTTGTGAATGTTAATGGATGAAATGTTGATATCTTGGAGACCTGTAACTGAAAATGATGAGATCCTGAAATAAAATGACACAGCTAAGATGAATTTTATTTATTTTATTGACTTGTTTTCTTGCCTTTTATCTGCTACTGCTCTCCTCCCTTCACCCCAGTTACCTTGAGCCACCCCAAGTACATATGAATTGCCTTTGCTCAACGCATTAACGCTGGGTAAATAGGAACATGTAATGACACAGTTGCATGCCTACATGAAAGACCTAAATGCACACAAAGCACGTCACTATTCCTCCTTACTAAATTTTGTATACCTGAGGAAGATTTGAGGACAGTATGTTAAGTTTTGGTGATCTGGAAGCTTTGTGAAAGAAATAACGCATCACAGGGCACTTAAAGTCAGCATTAATTTAGTGCACTTTTCTTGTAAGCAAGTTACTGTACTGTAAGTTTTAAGCCCCATTTCATGTGTGAATGAAAACAGCTCTCTGGTAGATATACTGAGATGCTGAATGGCAAAAACCAACCAACCAACCAACCACCACAATGACTGAAATATTTTTATATACATTTTCTGTTGTGTAAACTCAGAATTAGCCCCTTCAGTGAGATGTAATTCTTGTTTCTTTTTTACTGTTTGACTACTAATTAAAATAGACTAGGTAACAAATTTCTACAACTTCATCACTATTGAGGTGCATAAACAAAACTAAACTACTGCTTAGAAAATTCAAGTCCTTGTTGATGCCTAAAATTTCATATTTTGCATTTTAACTTATATGTGCTAACAGAACGTTGATAGCAGCTGTTCTGTTTGTAGCTTGTATTTGCACTTAGTTACTTGTTATTCTTGAAGGTAGATAATCTGATGTGCAATAATATTGGGTTAATAGAACAAGGTGGCATTGTTTTTTGAAACTGCTCCTCTATGAAAATGACACTGAATAGGAAATTTTCAGCAGTAACTCAAGTAAATGAAGCATGTTTGCTATTGCAGTGACCCATCCAAACATCCTCCGGCTACACAAACAATTATGGAAAAAAAAAAAAAGAATAGCAAGAGGATTGATACATGTAATCATGTCAGCATTGACAGTATGCTGATGAAACTCTGAACTCCAAAATAACAGTATTTTAGGTAATGCCTGGGAAAGTACAGACTTCTTAGGTTGTGGGGAAAGTTTTAGACAGTTCTTATGCAGACTCAGTTTCATGCAGAAGAGAAAAAATGCAGCCTGCAGCCTTTTTGGCTGGTAGACCAACTGCAATGCAGATTCACCATCTCACTTTTCATGAGTGTTTTTTTTTTTTTTTTTCTTTTTTTTTCTTTTTTTTTTCTCTCCAAAGGTAGCAGCAGACAAACCTAGGAGAGCAGGGGGTACCCATGTTCTGCTGATGAGTTAAAATCTTCAAGTCCAAACCTCCAAGCGAAGTCTGAGGATTAAACAGGATGCGGAAGCTTTTTTTCTGAGCAGATCTCATCTTCTCACACAGGCTCAGCAGTATTATTGTCACCCAACTCCACATATTCATTATATGCCTTTAAAACAATTATAGAATTAAAAAAGATCCTCGCTCCTTAAAGTGAAACATTGCCTTTTTTACCGCTGATTTCCTTCTTGTATTAGCATTGCATACTGCCACCTACTCTTGATCTAGAAAATGTAGATGTATTTTTTGACTCTTATCTATATACTGTAAGTGAACTTGATGTGCATGAAAAACACTGAAAATACTACTTATTCAATAGTGCATTTTTTCAGCAAGTTTATCTTGTTCTTCACATAGCTTATTATCTTCCCTCCTTGGACAGCAGGTGTTTTTAATGAGCAGTTCATAACAACATCCAAATTCTTTGCTGTTATAATCTTCAATTTCAATCTAAAATGCAGCAATAAAAGCAAATGACTGGCTTTAGTATTGCTTTGTTTTCAGTACTGAATCTCCCATAGTCTCTATATGCTGTGCAGTCATATTGCCATTACACTTTTCTGCACTAGCTGTCAGCCTTCTCTGATGCAGATGTCCTCTATCACACGTATCAGAAAAAAAATTTGCAGCGTGACACACTTACGCATCACCAATTAATTTTGATTTTACTGCAAAATTTGGGAGAAGCAGCATTAGACTGTTCTGCTCTCTCTCTCATTCTCTTACTTCTGTATTTTCTAATCTGTAATTAAAAGGTTGCTTGCTCCCTTTTTACCCTTTGGTTAAAAACAAAACAAACAAAGATAGTAATATTTAATTTTATTTGATAGAAAGTTGCTTCAAAAATATGATTAAGTATATACATCCTTATATGCTGTACATACAGGTACATATACAAAATATACATAATAGCAAACATCTTCCCGTTACATTTTATGGATGGTAGTTAATAATGTGAGATAGAACTTACATCACACTGTCATACCTGCTTTCATCTTAACCTTATCTACAAGGAATTGATGGACATGAGAGATGAAAAAGGCTAGCAGATCTCTTCAGTCATACCCCATCTCATCCAGAACTAACAGTGCATTTGATTAGTGCCTTGTTCTAATGAAGGTAGTTTGCAGCACTTCCCTTCAGAGGTATTCAGCTGCAAAACTTGTCTTCAGATTCTTTTTTTTCCTGGCACTTACCCCATTTCTAATTCTAGAAATCTTCCTCAAATCAAGCTTTTTTTTTTTTTTTTAATAATTTTTTTCCTTTTTTTCCCCCTCCATCTTGATTCATTAGTTGCTTGTTTGCCAAGTATATTTGCCATATAGATTTACCTGTTAGTACTCTCTGTTCTGGGAGAAATATCCTCAAGCGTGAAAGTTATAACCCCTATAACCCAAGTGTTCTCTCTAGCAGGATGCTGTAAAACTGGAATCAGTCAACAAGGAGGAAAAAAAGTACCACTCCTCCTCCACAGGCAATTACAGGGTGCATGACCACCAGTTGTGCCCCTGGGACAAACGGTATTAGAGAGCTCAAGCGGAATTGCCCAACTGCTGGGGGATTTCTGGTACCGACCCCACAAGGAATGCTCTGCCTCTTCACCCACCCTCTAACCAAAGAGCAGCATACCAAAATCTAGACAGAGGGAGCAGAAGCTGGCACCTCTGTCCTTTACTAGTTGCTTCCAAGAGATAATCCTCCATCCCTTGACTGGAGGGATCTGTCACCCTTACCCTCAGGACCTGATGTTCAGGGAAAAAAGCGACAGCTGCCAAAACAGAGTAGCAGCAGCAAAAGGGCTGGGAGAGAAGCCATGGCCTCCACAGGCTATCCTGGAGGACTCTTCCCTGAGCTAAGAAGAAACATGCCTTCTTTCATTGTCTTTCTACCTTCTGGAGGTTAAAAAGGAGCTGCTTCTTTCTTGCAGACATCTTGGGAAGTGCAGTTTCATTGCCCTGATAACATTTTATTCTTTCTAAATTAACAGCATCCTTAAATACCTATTGCACTACTATTTCTCTGTTCATGTGGCTCTGTGTTTTCCAACCCTGTGCTGGTCATAGTTTTCATTCACTAGGATTTTTTTCTGCTCTGTTTTTATACCTCTGTATCTCTTTTGTATTAGTATGCAATAGCTTTCTCTAATTGGTAAAGCAGTTTTCCATCAGCTGTCAAGGTGAAAGCAAGGGAATTAAGGTTCCTCTTATAAATTCTTTTGGTGTTACTTTAAATAATATAGTGTTTTTCTAACTAAGGGGAACTCTTCTTGTATTCTTTGGATCAAGTTTATATTTTCTGAAATACAGTATAACATGCATATATTTAATAATATCTTAAAGATATTAATATGCCTTCATTTTTTTTCTATGCTGTGGGATTTTCACTCATTCGAGAAAAAGGTTCCCAGGCTTCTATTCTGCTTGCAGTACCTCTGTTCTCTGTTGCTAGGCCCCATAAATATTATTTCATTTTAATTTTGTACTACTCCTTTGTCTCCATCGAAGAACTGGTACGAAGCACATCCTGTTACTCCTTATCCAAATTCCTGAGGTCCTGTCTGCAACCCTGGTTGGCAGAGGGCGCTGGTGAACTGCTGGAGAGATGAGGCTCCACCTTAGAAGAAGTGGGTTTGAAACCCTCCTGCTGACCTTCTGTGCTGGGAGGTGGAGGAGTCAGACGGCTGTGGCTTTGCTGAATTTGTGCAGCAGCAGCTGGTGAATCATCATCCTGCTGGTCTTGAGTGCTGGGAGGAACAGCCGAAGGGATGATGCCCTGAGGAGCAGCTGTTGAACCACTGTTGAGACAGTTCACAACTAAGCTTGCAATGTTAACATTAACGTGCAGTGACTACTCTTAGTTTCCCAGCAGCACAGTTTCACCTCAGCTAATGAATCTGAGATGATGATTTGTCTGTCTCAGATTTGAATCCTAATTCCTTCTCTCAAATCATACCTGTGTTCTGGGGAAAGGTAGAAGAGGTGAAGCCACAACAGAGATCATAACTGCAGCATCACCAGGCTTTGATAGTTTAAAATCAATTTGTTATTAACTTCTAAGTTGTTACTAAGGTCCTGCACAATAGGATTTTTTTCTTGAGGTGAAGCAAAGGTGGAACTGTGACACTGTGAGCACTTTTAAATTTTCCTAATTTTATTGCAGTGGAAACCTGTGTCATCTGAGTGAAAGAAAACACCACCATTACCTTGGGGATGATAGTGTTTAAATGCTTTTACAGTGAGGAAATTCTGAACACGTATAAAACTGATCTATTATAAATGCGCTCTAATAAAAGTCCATTGAAGAGAGACTATGCAAACAATATTCACATTGGTTTCAGTGGATATTGGGCTGAATTTTACATAAGCACATATCAATGACAGACAAAGACATTTCTATTTTAAGATACTACATTTAAGCTGAAAAGTCTTCAGGCAGTATGAAACAGCAACCCAGAACTGTATTTGTGCTAGCTCAAGATCCTCCTGCCAGGACTAAGGAATACTGTGCCTGTACAGCAGGAGACTCAGAAATTAGCAAAAATCGTGGATTCATCTGATGAGGAGAAAGATCATATATATATTTAACATTTAATATTATCAGAGAAGACCAAGCCTGTCTTTCTATGCCATTATTTTTACCACCCGTGTCAAGGACAGGGAAGAGCACTACAGTGAATCAATGCACAATGTATGCTACAAATGCAGAGGGCCTTTGTTTTGTAAGGTCTAGAAGAAAAACATTAACACACTCAACTTATTCTAGCCAGGCTGGTGCGTTTGTTTATTGTTTCCAGCTAAGAAAACCCATGTGTGTAGATTCTTCCTACAGATATGATCCGAGTATTTCTCTAGTAGTAATTCATAGACCACAGTAGTAATTAAAAAAAAACAGACCACAGTAGTAATTCAAGTCCATGGAGTACTTCCAGGTGGCTTAGAGAGGAATTCTAATAGTGAAGCACTGCTACTTATCAAGCAATGGTGCTTGTAACAGTCAAATACCTTGTGTTTTGTTATGCAGTGTATTACAGTATAGTATATATTTAAAACACTTGCTATAACTAAACTAGGAAGAAGTAATGTATTAGTTAGGCATGGGAAGTCTAAGAAAAAAAATCTGTTCTCCCTGATGTCTCACTGATTTTATTCTCTTGTTCTGTTCTTCACAGCATTCCCAGAACTCTCTCCACTCTGTTGTATATATACACATTATACATACACATACACACATCGAGACATATATATACAATATAACATATACAGGATATTCTTCTCTATAGAGGCTTAAGATGTGCACCATCATATTTCAGTATGAAGTTTTTAAACTAGTGAATATATGCCTGAGGGGCTGGAGCATCTCTCATGCAAGGAGAGGTTGAGATAGCTGGGATTGCTCAGCCTAGATGGACAAGATCACTGTGAGCTCTCTCTGTACCTCATGGGAGGGTGTAGAGAAGATGGAGCCTCTTCTCAGTGGTGCCCAGTGACAGAACAAGAGGCAATGGGCACAAACTGAATCAGAGGAGGTTCTGGCTGAACAGTTTTTCACTGTGAGGGGCGACTGAGCACTGGCAGAGGTTGCCCAGAGTGGTGGTGGAGCATCCATCCTTGGGTATATGTTCACAGCCCAGCTGCAGACAGCTCCTAACAACCTGTCCTAGGCAACCCTGCATTGAGGAGCAGGGGTTTGACTAGAAAAATCTCCAGAGGTCCCTTCGAACTCCAATTATTGTATGCATGTTTCACATACATGGAAACAGAACTATGCTAATAGCTGACTTCACTGACAGTAGGGATGAATGAATTGAGCAGTTTTAGACTAGTCTTGTTTACATGGTGAAGTACGCCCAGAATAAGAAAGACGTTATTTAATAATTCCTTACCCCAATAATTTAGACTCTTCTGTTGGTAAAAGAATGCTAATCCAGCTCTCCTACAGTAATTTTATCAGTATGAACTAAAGAGGTATGATTTTCTTTATCTTTACTTGTGGGCTAATTGAGGCACAACAGCTGACAAGAAAATGGAATTGCCTGGTCTCTGGAGAGACTACAGCAAATAGTAGAAAAGTAGATAATGTCAAATCTGAAATGGACATATTGATCAAAGTAAATCCATACATTTACTTCTGTCTTCTCCTGCTGTAATTTACTAGCCCTGTGCTTTGTTGCACAGAATGAACAACCTTTTTGTGCTGTAATGCCAAGCTGCACTGCTTCTTTATCACGTACTCTTTGTACAAGGCTATGAAAATACTTACTTATTTGGCAATGCATATGTGAACATGCATCTTCATGATAATTTTAAGAGTGCTTTTAGTTTTTGTTATGACCAGGTAGCATATAGAATTCCACATTGCAGGCTACAACTGTAGTAGATATATTTTAAGACTTACCAAAAGCCATGCTTCTGAAAAGCACCTGAGTTAAGATCTTTGCCTAAAATTGGCTTCTTGGTGCAATTGTTCAGTTTTTGTCCCATCATTCGCCTAATTAAAGCATCGTCTGTGTTTGGAAACAACTGTTTTGTGATGCCTGCAAAACAAAGAGATGACATATATGAGGCCTCCAAACCAGGGAGACCACAGGCATGATTTAAAATGCACTTATCGCATCTTTGAAATTTCCAGCTATTTCTGCCTTAGCTTGTTACTTTTCTGTCTTTACTCACTCCTTTATCAATTTTGTCAGCCCTTGCTTTTTTTCTCTGCCTTCTGTATGTTAAGCCTGTTCTTGGCATACTCAAGGAGAACCCCAGGAGAGATTCCTGCAATAAATAGGTTTATCTTCTCTCTGTTGTTCTGTTTTTGATCAGAGAAGCCTATTCTTGTGTGTTCCCATGCTTCTGAATCTTACAGGCTTTGTTCATTAATTTTGTATTTGCAGAAAATGCCTCCTTCCCCTAAAATTTCCCTTCTGTTTTTCCTCTAGCTGCACGGTTAACTTTTTTTGAATACAATGCTAACAGGATTTAACATCAGGAATGAAATTTCTGCTCTTCTCCATTACCCTCACTTTCATTCCCTTGATTTTTTTTCCTTTCATTTAATTTTGAAGTTTTACAGTTTCTATCTTCTTTAACTGATCTCATCAGCAAAGTCTTTTTCTACAGTCTTAGAATTTCCAGACATGCCTTGTTTTTCTTCTTCTCCCCTATAATGTTGGCACTTCCCTGTTTGAACTCAGGAGGGTTCTCATTAGGGGAATTTGTTAGGGGAACCTAGCAAATTTCTTTCACTTCTCTGTTAAGCTCCCCTTCTTCACTGAACTCTCTTGCAGCATGCCATATTCCATGGTCTAATTGTATTCCCTGTTTCTTTCCTCAGTTTTGCCTAGACCCTTCCCCAGAATCCACCTTCAGAAAAGTCACTAGGATATCTGCTCATCCCAATGAATCTTTTTCAATTTTCTCATACTTCATTCTGAAATTGTCTCATCTTAACTCCTCAGTATTTTCATCATCTTACACATTCTTTCCTTTTCTATTTTGCCTTTGAGACTTTTTCTCTAGGTAGATTCTTAAGGAAAAGAGGTTTACACAACTGTAACATCAATACCCTATTGTTAACTTGATATTGATAACCCTACTGATAGCTGCCCAACTTTAACACAACTAGACAAAGGTTCATGAACTGAAACCAGGTTGGGGAGAACAGAGAATGGGGGTAGTAGTCCAAGGAATTACCATGGGGGAGAGACTCTGGTACAGGAGTTTGGGCTATGTTGTTAAGGTATTAAGCTACGGGTGTGAATTCAATAGAAATCAGGCTTCATGTTTACAAAATAGTTTTCTTTAAAGCTGCTACTTGCATCTGAGATGATTCTTTCCTATTCACCAAACATCATCTGCCTTAAACCTCAGCATAAAACAAATTTTGTTTGCTTCTCTGATCACTGTTCCTGTCTCCTATACTTAGTGTCTCATTTTGCCTCAAGCACTATTTAAAATGTCAAAATTTATAATGTTCGATAACTTCAGAATATAGCAAACACGGTTTTAAATCCGATCCAAGTGTGTCCTCTCTGTGCCTTCCCTCTTCTTTATCTGTTATCACCATGCTCCACATTAGACCATTGCAGATTAGCTCTTCAATATCTAAAAAGTTTATTACTGCTCCTGAACAGTCACTTAAAACACAGAACTCACACAACAGAAACACCAGAACTTAGTATTTCACTGTCAGAATTTGTAACCGATGGGTTAAAAAACAAACATGGAGACAAAGAAGGAAATATAAAACAGCACACAACCTGAGTAGACCAGCTGTTAAGTATTAGTGCCCCTCCCTCAGAGAAAGCCCTCTGCCAAATCAGTGCCATATTAAGTAATGTTAATAAGTTATCACCTATGATTTCCTGAACTTCATTCTGATTCATAGCTGGTTTTGCTGCTTTATCCTTTGAAGAGGAGGATTTTGCACCTGTCAGGCTGTGCGTAGCCATGTACTCATGTGTGTAAAGTGCTTGCATCAAGTCATTTATAAACTTTTGAGGTTTGCTCTTGTTACAAAGTGCAATCTGCCACTTTTCGATCTTGAACTGGAAAACAAAATTGGTCATAGACATAACTATTGCAGTTCACTAGAAATATGATATAGTATTATCTCTGAAATATTTTAAAGCGTATTTTCTTTCACCACAATTTCAGAAGCAATCCCTGCAGCTGTGCACTTGAGATCAATTTTTAAACTTGCATACCATTCATTGTTTGGAGCTGTACACACATATTGATTTTTAGTTTTTTTCAGAAGCTAGCGTGGAGCAGGCTAAGAACCCCTATTCACCCCTAAGCAGTCCTTACTACTCCCTAGTAGAGACAGGCCATTTTCAGACATACCTAAATCCTTCTGCTTGCACTCCATGCAGGCTGGATGTGGTCCAGTTCTGTCCTGGAATCTGTATAGCCTCAGGAGCACAGCAATATGCCTAAACTAATATTTCTGCCTCTGAACAGACATGCCCTAAGAACTGTGACATCTGGTCCTAGGCTTTGAGAGTGATTTCAGCACACCACAGCTCTACATCCAAAATATTTGAACTCTCCTAATGTGCAATTTTGAGTCACCTCTATTAAGGTATGGCTAGGATGCTTAGAAATTTTGGTCTTTATATTTCTTTGGCTAGGTCAGATTTTGTGTATTGCAATACCTAGTCAAAGCATCATACCTTGATAATTCTCAATAGAATACTTTGGTTTTCTGAGACCCCAGTAACTATACTTTTGATTAGGTCTTCATATTTTTCCTGTACAGCCTCCAACCTCGGATTTCTCATTTATGCTCTGCTATAATTATGGAGAACAAGAGGTCATCTTCATTCAGAAACTATGTATATGTGTATTTCCGCTTAATTGTTGGCCAGCTTCAGGAACAAGAACAGAAACATACAATTCTCCACTTGCCTATTAACAGTTTAAGCAGATTAAGCCATTTTTCTTAGATTACCTCTAAAACACTAGTGCTCCCTTTTGGAATCCAAAACATTAGTCTGGAAGTTACCCCTGGATCTCAGTATTTAACTCATGAATTCACAGATGTGCAAAGCCACTGAGATCAGTTTGAGAGTGTACCAGCATGCTGAATTAAGCCTAGTGGTTCTCTTGCTAAGAGCCTTCTGTACAACAGGACCTCATTAATCACGTTAACAACTGGATCATGAAAAAAATGACTTTTATTGATGCTTATTTTCATTATGCTGTAACAGTAAGATTTGTACTACATTGAGATTTACTTTTTATGCCTGAAATTATCTTTAAACTGACCTGTTTTTCAGTCTGTTGCTCCTCATCTTCTCCATTCAAAGTTATTGGTGAGCTGGAGTTACTATGCATAGCTGCGTATGTATCTGCTAAAGAACTGTTAGACGCTTTCCAAACAGCATGTGAATGAAGACTAGATGTAGATGTTGTCACTCCCCCTTTGAGCAGTGCTTCAGCCATTCCTACCAGTTCCTCAAAATGAGTGACTGCCTGTGGCAACACTGAAATCAAATGGAAAGTGATGGGTAAAATAGTAATTAAAGCTTTCAGTCCCCACCCATGAAGATCTGGCCTCTGCTTTTGGAATATGATTGACCGGTTCTCTGCAAGGCTGAGAGGAACCATTAATTTATTTCCATCAGGGCACTAAGCTTGCTATTTTTTTCCCTTTTTGTTTGCAATCTCTACAAGTCTGTAAAGCTACTGAATATAGGCCACAAAATGGTATGTCTAATATTTGCATGCTTGTTTCAAAGGAGTCATGTAGACTGCACAGATTTTTCCCCCTCTTTTATTCTACAGAAAATATATTTTCTAAAACCCTTTCTCTGAAAAAATATTTGTTTTTAAATAGAAACTTTTATTTAGTTCATTAAGAAGAATCAATTCAGCAGAGCAAAAAAGGATGCAAGGGATAAAGAATCAGCAAGATACAGAATCACTAAATTATTTTAAGACTGTAAAAGACTAACAAAACTGCTTAAGATGCAAAGGAAATGGTATAAATATGGAAGGAAAGTTGTCAGATGTTAATAAAATATTTAATATTCAGAAAAGTGGAAAAGAATGATTCAAGTCAAGGTGAATAACACATGCAACACATTCAGGTGGGCAATGAAACTGATAAGCACTCACAAAATTGTATGACAAATAAAAAAAAGAGAGATATTAGACAGTCTAAGGATGCTATAATGCATTGACATGGGAAGCAGAAAGCCCTCTTTAAATCTTATACATCCACTAACGGTTTGAAACTTCAGAGTCTGTCTTTGCTGTCCCTGAGTAAGGGACAAGAACAAGTAAGAGGTGCTTCAGACTATGACCACCGAGTGATTAAACGTTCATTTATAAAAAGACAAAATGGCTCGACTCTGGGATAGGACACAATTTTTTGTACCTAGAATGAACTCAGTTTATCAATAATGAGGAATTACCAATGTAATTGGAAATGTATTATTCCAGAACACAGAAAATCTCAGGAGAGCAATAAAAATCCTTAATAAATGATGTTAGTTGGAGTGGTCAATGGAGTATTTGAGCTTAGATGATGGCTATACATGGCACACAGAAAGGTTCTCTTGGCAACAACTGACAGGAGTTACATTTTTCCATTTCTAACTCTATGATTGCATGGCCTCCACACAGGCTAGTTTTTTCTAAGTGCCGCTGGAATTGAAGGCTGCTATGTTTCAAAGACTGTGGTGATAATGGTAGGCCTTGATCATGTCAGGAGCTCGAGCATCCATAATTTCCACCCAAATAGCCTCCTATAAATCAGGCTTTTCATGACCTTCAGGCTTTCCTCTTCATCAAAAAAATTCCCCTGACTTTACCTTGAAGCATTACCAGGGACTGCCTTAGGCGGCAGTTTTCTCTCATGGTGTCTGTCAGCTTTCTCTTGAGACTTTTTATTTTGGCACACAGTTCTACCTTGGATAGTTGAAATAAAGGCTCTTCATCATCACTGCTGCTTTCACTGTACAGAAAGTTGCTTCCTGAATATGGTTCTCTCTGAAAGAAACAGACCATGCTATCTACAGCAACAACAACGTAAAAATAAAGCATTAAACCTACCATTAAAATATCTACCTAAAACAGAGTATTCCATTTGTACACAGAATGTATAAACAGACTTGGTGCACTGTAATAATAATTGTTACTGAACATAAACATTACCATTCCTATTAAAATTCAAAATGAAATGTCAAAGCAGTACATAACAGTTATGTACTTCCATGTTCTCTATTCACCCATTTTCTAATGTGGTTTTAGAACCATTAACTTTACTAAAACATTTCCGTTTGCTTTTCCTTAATAGATTAAAATTGCTGAAGATGAGATGTTTACCTGTTTGTTAATTAAAGATGTTTCAAGTTGACTGAGGATGTTGGCAGGGGCAGATGCCTGAAATGATTTCTTTCTTTTTATATGCTTCATCATCTTCTCCTGTAAACAAGAGTGTAATAGCATCCTTGCATTTGTACGGAGATTCTCATTGTAGTATCTCACGGCATGCTATAAACTTCTATTCACTCTGCATGTAACACTCACAGTTAGTATTTACGGAAAAATAAATCCCAATGAAAAGTTAATAATATGTGCTTTCTTTTCCCACATTTTGTCACTGTAGATCTCAGGATAACACAAAACCTGGTCCCTACTTTTCTTACGCAGTGGTCAGACATCCATCCCCTGGGAGAAAACGTAGTGGGGCTATACAGCACCCGAAGACTTGAATAATACTTTTCTCATTGAACAGCAAAGAAGAAAATCCATTGGCCTGATTAATCTGACAGGTTATCATGCTGAGGTATCACATGAAGACTGCCTTTATTCCTACCATTACTATTGGCATTTAGTGCATTATACTATGAAGAATCAATATTTACGGTCTATTTCATTACACGACGAGCATACCAATCTCAGGCACACAAAGGCAGAAACTCACCTGCTCTTTATCCAGGTCACTGTCTTCACTTTCTGAGAAAATCATTTCTATTCTCTTCCTCTTGCCTTTTCCAACAACTTGTATTTTTGTAATTTCATCTGCTTGTAGTATCTTTTGCATCATTTCCACCAACTCTTGGGGGTCATCTGAAGCAAAGATAAAAATGGCCAAAGCAAAGCAAACGATGTAGCAATACTTTACAACTAGATTAAAATCTCCTATCAGTCAAATACTCTGCAACTGCACTTACCACTCATGTACACAACCTTCACTAGGTGCTTTTCTGTCTTTCTTTCTCCCACAGGCCAGTTTACTAACACGTGCTCATTTGGTTTCAGAAGTCTTTCTAGTTCACTGTCATCACTGGGAAGATCCTGAATCCACGAAGTCTCTCCAATTTGGAGCGAGTTGTCATTTACAAAATCAAACAGTGTGAATTTTTTCATTGTTAAATGGTTTTCTTGTCACACAGACACAGCCTGCAGGACATCATAGGAAAAACAGCTGTTACTGTGTCATCCCACAGGAATGTTAGAAGAATACTTTAAAAAGTCTCCCCAAAACCATTTATTCCTGGATTTTGATATTTATCTTGTATGAAAATATTTTGGGTAAGGAAGTGAAAACTAGCCTAGCGCCATGTTTTGTCTTCCCTGAAAGATGGGAGATGGTCTGCTCCGTACATTAACATAAGTAAAATAATTATCTCCCAAAATATGCACAGAAAACATCTTTTTCTCACAGAACAATTGTTTCTATAATACTACCATGTCTAATCCATCTCCTGCCCATGATGTCTATTACCACATTTGCCCCAACAAGCTTTCAGTGTCAGTGAACCCTTAGCATCAGACTAAGAGATACAGGTATGATAAAAACTTCACCTAGGATGAGGGAAAGCACTCACTCTATGTGCTATTAAAAGGGATGCGTGACTTCCAGGACTTCATTAAGCATCCTGCGGGCACTGAGATCTACAATTGCGGCCCCATAAAAAACAGCCCAGAACAACCCAGGACAACTGACTGGATGAGGGATGACACATTCTGGCAGTGGAAAACTTGATGTACAGAAGAAATGACAGGCTGAGGACTGGAAGTGAGCTGGGCTGCTTCATGAAGAGGAACAGCAACAAAGAAAACCCACACCCAAATACGCAGATAAATCCTTCGCTTATGTGAGATAATATTGTAAAGCAAAGGACCACTTTAATACCTTTTAAAGCACCGAAGTTGTACACAGGGAGAAGGAAACAAGTAATACTCTTTATTTTTCTAATTAAGCTGATACGCCTTACATGAAAGTGTGAAATGTAATATACGTTCTTAAACTCTACTGAAAATGTGATCAGTTCATGTAAGTGCTTCCATTATACTTGGAGAAGATATTTGCTACTTGAAAATTCTTAAAGCGGATAAAACCAATAAATAGAAAAACGGATTTTGTCAAGCCATGGCCTTCTTTCCGACAAACATATGATTTGGCCTGTCAGTTCACAGGGGTGAAATAATTTTGTAGAGCTGCAAACTCATGAATTCCCAGATGTGACAGTGGGATTCGTGATTTACTTGGCCTCAATCAGTCGGAAGCAAATCTAGCGCCTCACGCAGAGGCTGTCAAAAAGGTAACTCGGAGCTAGGAGAGGAGAATTACATGGGGCTGTTGTGTCAAAGTGAGAAAATCTGGCTGCAGTGCTGGAGGAAGCAATGTCAATTCATCTGCAGAAGCCCAGCTTACCACTGTTCGCCATGTCTGTGCTAAGCCTCCAAAAAGCTGGCTTTTCACACAGGTGAACTTGTTAATTTGCACAAGACAAATGTGCTCTTGTCATCATGTTTACCGATACAATGAGGTAAGCAGCATAAGAAATCGCCCTTAAAAAGGAGAATATTAAATCTCACTTTTCTGCAGAACGTGTCAAGTATGATTGCAGTAGGATTGTTAAGTACTGAACTGCTAAAAAAAAGGAGACTGTTTGCAGGAATTCACATTAATTTTCTTTAAAGAAAAAATCCATCCCATGTAAATCCTGGAGGGGAGACAGCCTGAATATCTATGCCTAGCATGAATCACTGGAGGCCTAATTCTGCCACTTATCCATGCTGGGTGGATCCTCGCCCCACAGAAAGGAGTCATTCAAATGAATAAATGCACAGACGCAGCAGGAGCCAAAGGAAGAGAAGTTCCAGCACTGACTTCAATAGGTAAGATCCAAAACGAAATGGCATGTTTGTTCAAACAGCAACACTACCAGATTTAAAACAACCCATATACGCAATCACATTGAACATCAGTATTTTTCCTTCTTTTTCAAACCACTCATGCAGCACAAAGATGTTGACTTCTAGAATCAGACGGCAGACTCAGCTGATAGCCCTTAACCCCTGATCAAGCCAGCACAACAATCCCCAATCACCCAACTTTTAAATTTTCAAACAAAATACTTCGAGCTTTCCCGTTTGGCCCTTGACAGTCCTGAGCTATTTCATTGCTCTCCTAGAAGCCCACATAATGCTCACAGAGTTGTAGCAAAGTTAGAGCTGCCAACGTGCCAAGATTAACAGCTGATGTTAATCTACTAACCTGTATTTTTTAACATTTCCCTGCTGTCAGGCTGTGTCTCTGTGGTGTCTCTCATTTTGTACTCAGCCCAATACTCTGATGTTTGTGGTCTGTGCACGTGCAGGTTACCAAGTCAGCCAGATAAGCACCAAACACACAAGGGATTCAAAGCATGGAAGAGCAGTGATGATTCCCCAAAGCCCTGGAGCTATTCACATGCACACGGTGACCACTGAGCACGTTGGTAGGAAGTCTTAACAGTTTTCAGGAGGTACTGGACTCACCTAAGTTATACAGCTTAGTAAGGTCAATGCATATGTCGACTTCTGGATGTTCAGAGCCCACAACAGCAGCATGGGGTGGCTGGTAGATGCTGCGAGGCACGTGGCCATTGAAATCCCTCTCAGTCTTTACACCAGACAAGCTATCCAAGGCGGGGGAAAAGAAAGAGGTGTGCATGTCCCTGAAGCATCTGGATCCATGAAAAGAGCTCCAGGGCACGATGGCAAGACAAAGAGGAAGAGCTGACAAATCCAGCCTGCTAGTCAAAGCTAGGGAGAAGTTTTACCACGGTCCTTGCAGGATGCAGAGCTCAGCGATTTGTCTGCATGATCTATAAAGCTCTTCTGAGCTGTCAAGATTCTTGCCTGTGGTGGGAGGGTGTACTAGTAAACAGCTAAACTGATTTCACTGGGAGTCTTAACAGCTGCCAAGTTAAAATATAAGCTACATACGATGCTGAGAGAAATTAGGAAAGGATTTCACAGAGTCATGGGAGGAGGGATGGGACCGATCCATCCCTGCAGCTCCTGAAAGGAGTCAGAAAACTTCCCGGCACCTTTATGAGGCTTCTGCTCAGACCTGTTGTTGCAATATTTGGTTGTTAGTACTTTTCTCTGATGAAGCATGGCTTCAGCTCCCTCAATATACATTAATCAAACTATGTCTTTTCCCAGAATTTATTGTGACAACTCATGGGCCCTAGGGATAATATCTAGCCGTCTGCTGGCATCATCTCCAGCCTGTGATTAAAGGGAATGGAAAGGTAGAACAAAATGTCTCTAATGAAGGAAAGGAACAGTAAAATACATCACTTACTGGAGAAGTCCGGCAGTGTTTTCTCACCCTGTCCTCTCATTGGAGTCAATGTGAACCTTGCTTGAGTAAGGACTGCCACAGATGCCTCCCTCTAAAACACCTTCTTTGCCAAAACAGATCAAAGGCAAAATATACTGTATCACCACGGGAAAAAAATAAAATTCTGTGGAGTGGGATTAATCTCACTGAACTTTTATTACCCTGAAAATGAGAGGCTGTCTAGCCACGCTTGGCTCTCTTCTGTCACTGCAGAAAGAGAGGTGATTCATCTCACCCTAAGACACATCTCAGAGAGCCGATGACTTACTGTCTGTGGGAGCCCATTCCTCTCCGCTGACTACTCAGTGACCGTACCATGTCTCCTTACAGAAGCTGCTTGGGTCCAGCCCCTCCTATATTCACTTTTTCTACTTTTGAAGCTGCAGGTTAGATTCCGGTAGAACTCCTGAGATATGGAGCTGCGAGGACGAAAAATGAAGTCTGCGGAAGTGTATCTGGTTCTCTCTTTTAAACCCTTCTTACACAGTTCTACCAGTCATCAAGTAAGATTTCTGACACTGGGTGCTTTGTTCAGCGGTTTAATTGGAAGATACATAATCGTTCGCAGACAATTGTTCACCCAGCGCATTAAGCCACTAACCACAGAGATAGAATTACATGACCTTTGAAAGCCACTTGTGTTTAAGTTGCCCAATTCTGCTGTGCTCTCCATTTGAAAACGCCAGCTCTTTATTTGAGAAGTACTGAAATACCAACTTATGATTTATCGCTGTTCTAAGACGTAAATCTGACCTCACTTTTTCTAAAACCAAGGAATGCGTAGAAGAAAAAAAAGGAAAAGGAGGAAGCCATTTAATTTTAGAGCTCTGCAGATGAAACATTAATTGGACTTAATTTTTACAAACATGTTAATAGCTCACACTCGGCGCAGATGCCACAAATTTGCAGACAGGATATTGTTGCTAAGCAACCCAAAAAGCCAGAACAACAACAAAAATACCCACAAGAGTCATTTAAAGACATATCTCACCCTTTGACTGACATAGTCTGTTCCATTCAGCTTGAGAGTTGGCAGATGGCATGCTGAGATCATTATTTCTCTTCCCTTTCAGCAAACGCCGTGTAAAGTATTACAAATTTACACCATGAGATTGTAGGCCTACTCGATGGGTCTGATTCTGCTGGGGCTTAAAATAAAAGCTTTGCCACTAATTTTAGCAAAACAAGGAACTGTACCACAACTGTGCAAACACGGTTCCATAATAAAGTACTGACATTTTATATCACCTACCCTCTAAGTCCACACTTTGACAATCCCAGTTTTTCTTAGGGAATAAAAGAAAGAACAGCACAACTCTTTACTGGACTAGAATCATCTGTGTCACGCAAAATTATTTATTTTACTTTCTGCGCTATTAGTAGCAGTATCAAATTTGGGTTGAGTTACTTTGATTACTGCATTTCATGCTGAACTTGCCAGGTCATTAAACACAATGCTGGTGCAAAACTCTTGGGTTACACTAATGTGTCAGAATTCCTGGTTCTCCACAACAAATTTATGAGGGAAAATATTACCCTATTTAAATACGTTATACGCCCTTTTGTAGGTTCAGATCTTATTCCCCTGAAACCAACGGAAGATTTCAGTGGAAACAGACAGCGTCAGAAAAATGCAGAAGTGTTTTTATTGCTTAAAATATTTTAACTGTGGTATCTTAGTCATTTCAGGGGAAAGTATGACTTAAAAGCACGAATGCAGAGTACAGATTTTCTTGTCATCAATATGACTCTGTTCCAAATTCAGCTAGAAATCTTGGGGAGCATCTGTAGGAACACTGCTGTAGCTGTCAAGTTTGTAAGTGCACGGAAATGACCCCACTTGTCTTCCACTACCAGGAAGGATAAAGCTACATGATTCTTAGTACTAACAGCTCACTTCCTGCTTGTAGATCATTACCCTCACAAACCAAGCCAAGGAATAACCTCAGATACTTTTCTAAGAAGTGATGGGATTTGTAGTTCAGCAACATCTGGCCTTATTTACATAGCTTGTCTCCTTGACTTCAAAGCCTCATCAGCACTTGCAATCCACATGGTTACATGCAGAATTTGGCCCATATCTTGTCCCAAAAGCTAAAATCCATAGGTTTGGTCCACAGAATTCATAAAGCAATTATTATTTTTCATAGTAGCGTCCTTCATGCTGTGAGCTTTAGCAACCTGCAAATTCTTTAAAATAATATCAACATCCAAATATGCCAAAGATATTCATAGGACTGTGGCTTAAATTACAAGTTTGAAGAAGTTGCTTGGAAATTTTTAATTTCCACATCAAATCATGTACTTTTCTTGTGTAATACTGAGTGACAGTAAAGGAAGAATAATGAATTTAGTGAACAGATATATTTAATATCTCTAGGAATACCTAACTTTAGCTCTAACTGATAATTTACTCAGCTAACACTGAAACATAGTGTTGATTTTACTAAATTTCGAGATAGCAACGTGCCATCATTATGGGGCTTTTAGGACAGGATTCAGTTGCTGACATGTGCAGTCACCTGTGCACTGGTTTTCATTGTAATCAGCGGAAATTTAAGGACCAATTTGGCTGCCTGAACACAGGTGTCTAGTGCCAGTATCCTGTGTTCTGCTTGGCCTTCAGCAGCTACTCCAGCTGTGCTAATCTCCCATAGGTCTCTCCTCACAACTGCCATCCCTTTGTAGATGCCTCAGCACAGAGCACCTCCATCCAGTCAGAAGGGTCAAGACCCTATCGAATACAGTCAAAGCCATGTGGAGGGCAATTCAGCTCATTTCAGATGCTTTAAGGCCCAAGTCAGTTGCCTAAAAACAAATGCATGGTGCTAAGGTGTCACAAATTGTTATGCCTGTCCTCTGAGTGTCCCTTCTCATGGGCACATACCTCAGATAGGGCCAGGACCCTCTTTCAGGCTCATGAGGATGGTTACTAACTCCAGGTATCTCAAATAGCATTAAATGTAAAAATTTAGAGAAAAGAATTATGCTCTGGGCTTCAATGCCTGAGCCAAGTTTAAATAGGAGCTTAGATACCTCACCTGCTCGTAACTGCTTCATGAACTGAATCACCCCATCCATGAAAAATCCACATAAAGATAGCAAGATGCCAAATAAGATGCAGGGAGTTGGCTTAATTCTCCATCATGGATTAGTATCTTTATTAGATAGCTATTTCACAGATGACAGTTGGAAAACTAGTACCCACTTTCACTTGCTTCTTCACAGACACCATGCACAACAAAATGTACTCATATACAGACCAACAAAAAACAGCCTATTTATTGAACTGCAGGCAGATACCTAAGCTACTGGAATTTGAATAGTCACATGAAAGCTCTCTCCATGCAAGTTAATATATCCAAACTCTTACATGTAGTAATTAGTCTGGGAGGAGAAACAAATCAGCATGGATCTATAGAGTTCAACAGCTGGCCTTTCTCGTGATTTGGCTTGGGTAATTCAACGTAATGCATCTTAACAGCTCCCAAATGATGAAGGTTAAAGAGGAGCAATGCATTTACTTATTTTGTCTAAATACATTTATGGGAAGCTGATGTCATCAGGGGAAATCTGACCACATGCAGATCTGTGCAGAGGTGCAAAAACTGTGCACTTGCTCTGTGTGTCAGCCAAGCAGGCAAATACTATTTTCTTAATGTATTCTGAAGAGATGTGTAAAAGGCTGAAAAAAAATTCAGAAGTACTTTTCATATGCAACTAACGCAGTTTCAAATTGGATTTGTTCAAAGAAACCCACTGGTGATCCAATGTGAGAGCCTGTAAGAGAAGGCATCTCAGCTTTTTTGGTGACATAAGCTATCTTATATCTCTTGATAAACTGTGCTGCCCCAAGGCATTACTATCAATGATCAACTTCAACTATCAAACTTCAACTATAAGAGCACAGAAGTGAAAAAACATCTAGAAATTCCAAGCCTAATCTTGGGTCAGTATTTAATACTCCAATGGCATCTTAACTCTCCCTACTCAAACGTCTTTATTGGCTATCATAGGTAAGTGGCGATAGATTAGAAGTCATGCCTGATAATACTCAAAATACTTGCTGTTTTACTCCAAAGCTCTTACTTAGTCTCTCTGGTTTTGCTACGTACTGGAAGGTGGAAATGAACTTGATAATCTCCTGTTAAAAAAAAAAAATCCTTATTGCTATTAAAGGTCATGAGTTAGAACAAGAGACACATATGTTGTCCTCTTACTCCAGGGAATATTACTGCAACCAAGATTAGTTCTGAATGCACTTAGGAGAATTTATGGGAAGGTATTTTCCCTGCGAGGATAAAAACCTCAGACCTTATTATACCTATTTTTTCCCCTCCTGTAAAATTAAACGTCATTTTGGCACTCGCAGTTCAACCTACCTTTAGAAATTAAGGCAATAGCTGAAATACCAATACTGTATACTGGTCTGAAGGAATCCTTAAGCAACTTCCAATTATATACATAATACTAATGAAGTGCAATTCCCTCTGGGATGCAAGGCCATATTCAGATTGACAACTGCTACATTAGACACTGCCAAAAATGAACAGAGAACAAATTTTAACCAAGGACAAACGGGCAAACCACTGCTGTAATGAAAAAAAAGAAAAGCCATAGGAGCTTTAGCAGTATATTTCCATCTAGGCTCAAGATCAGCTTGTCTGTCTGCAAAGTCAATTTATGCCCAGAGAATTCCTGCCAGCATTTTTCCAGCAATGCTCATTGCTGTGAGTTCACAACTGCATAGCTCCTACACCACGTGATTTACAGTCAGTGCAATAAACAGAGGGAATCAAAATATCCAAGTTGTGTGAGCTAATGAAGCCTATGAAAGAAGAACAATTACCTCAGCATACATAAAGGAGACAGGTATTTGGTTTTCCATCGTCACCTGAAACACCTAAAACTGCAAAATTTTCCAGTTGTGTCTGGGGTCTAGTCTGCAGCACTTGAATCAAACAGCTTCGTCTTGTGTGGACCATATAACACTTGCAGTTTAGTTTCTCTTTCCAAAAGATTTGAAGCAATAATATGTATTTACCTAACTGCAAGAATTAACTGATGTGCCATTCAAATATATGAAGCATTGCATGGAGCAAACAATTTAACCCGTTTGGCAGAACGAAGATTTGCAATAACCTTAATAAACTTAGAGCATACCATTTCATATAACAGATTTTTGAAACCTGATGCTTATATCAAGCTAGAGATTGTTACTCTTTCAGCTGAAGAATGTATTTTATTAGATTTAATCATCGACCAGGAGCTCCCACAACATATTCTCATACATCATACTAAAACTGATAGAGAGCACACTGAGGACAGTACGTGACCCATTAACTACAACATTGAGGGGAAATGTCAATTATGTCTTTGAATTAAGTTGCTAACACCCAGACACTACAGTACTTTATTTACTTAGGTTGCTCCTAGGTTCCTGCTTGATTAGGAAAGAAACTAAATATTTTGTTAAGAAGTATTACATGATTAGAGAATCCTTCTAACCAGTTAAATAATCATTTAAGCAGAACATTTTACTTAATTATAATTAAGTAGTAGAAACACAGTCTTTAAAGCACATCTACATACCGGTGAAAGGAACGACCTTACTCTTTCACTTACTTACTCAGCTAAAAATTGTACTTTTTTGTTACTCTTCCAAAATCGTATCTTGTATAAACTCCTGTTCTTATGTCCATACCACCAGATCTCACTGTGACTTTCCTTTGGCCCACTGATACAGGGAGTCTTGTAATTGTAAAATGAGGTGCACACAGCCTGAACCTGCAGGATCAGAGAGGTGCCTTCTCAGAGATGTTAAGTGCCCTTGAACTCCACAGCTCACATCGCAGGAGGTCAGATCTTTGTTGACTGTGGGTTCTCCATTCAAAATGCTGTGATATTTTCATTTTTTCCTCCTTTCAGCTCAACCCACTGTACTCAGCTATGGTTTTTAGTTTCTTTTAGTTTCTAAGAGCTGCTGCACCTCATGTAAATTATTGAGGTATATGTACTAGTCCACAGATTGCATTGCAATTCTGCATACTGGGCAACGGTGAGGGAAGAAAATATCCCTGCCATCAGCATTAGGCAAGACTGTTAAGTCAGGTCAGGCTATCATGAGACTGGGTGAGAGAATACTTTAGGTCAATACTGACTTGTTTCCCTGCAGGAAGGCTGCTGTTGCTGTATCACATTCCCTGCTCAGCTCTTCCATTATACTGGAGAACTTTGATGTACAGGTTGCTGCTCCCTTGCTTCCCACAACATTGTAAAATAAAGAAGCTGCACTGAGCAGTGACTGCAACCTGAGGAACATCTTCCTGTCCTGCCCTGTCCCCTTCTCACTGCAGATGTTTGTGGGTCACCTCTTTGTGGAGCCTCTGCTGCCCAAGCAGGTATCGCTGCTTCCTCCCTCAGCGCTGCTCAAAGGAAAGGTTTCTTTCAGGCTGCCTGCTGCAAACTGCAGCTGTGCCTGTGACTTTGTGGCTGGCTGCTCAGCTGCTCTATCAGCCCTACCAAAACAAGCATCCACAGGATGCTACCTCCCACCTTCTCACATCTCTGCAAAAGTGCAGCCATATCATGCACACCCTGAAATAGCAGGAGCAGTACCCCTTACTGATTGATTTCAGGGTCAAAGTCTGTAAGATCCCTCCAGACTTGCTTCAGCCTCTCAACAACTCGGATCTCTTTTCTGACCTGCCTTCCCTCACCACATATTCTTGCCACAAATAGTCTTAAAAACTTGGTTACCTTCTTTCACTTCCTCTTCTCTGAAACAGCTTCCTATTCACCTCCGGGATTCTCCTTCTGAGGTCAAATCTCAGCTGAGAGCCAACGGCTTTCTTTTAACCTTCTCTCTTCATTCCTTTTCTCTTCTCTGTTTCTCATTCTTAAGATTTATGAAAAATTTCCTGAAAAACATTCTATAAAGGAGCTTATATTAAAAAAAAACCACCATACACATAAAACTTATTATAATTACTCTTTTTTACTATTTGGAATAAGCTAGCTGCATATTGTTTGCTTATTTTTAACATGAAATCACTTCATCTACTTAAACTGTATTCACCACGGAAGTAACATTTTAACCACACTCCCCATACCCACAGCATTTATAAAAAAAAAAAAAAGAATAGTAATGAGCATAAAGAAAGCCATAGCAGCAGTTTCATATGCATGAGACCGTTGACTCAGAAGCCTAGAGCAGTAGCTTGCTGAAAAAATCACACGTCAGCATTTCTTGTACTAAACTGTATTCTCTTCAGAATCTGAAAAAAAAATTAAGCTGTTGTCAAGTAATTTATCATAGCCTTTTGGCAAAACGTTACCCTCAGGGCACCAGTGCACCTTAAGTCTTAGAAAGGAAAAGCTGTAAACCTTAAACAAGCAGGGTGACTAATTACAGATCTGTCACTACTCTAAATGTTGTTCTTGGATAACTGCATAGAAAAGGTGAATTCTGCAGATAATTCCCTGAGTTCTCTGCAGTTTACTATGCAGCCACCTCTACGTTATGTTTTTTGGAATACCTCCTTATGAAATATAAACCGGTGCAGAGCGAGAGGTGCTGAAAAGTTTCTTGTCCCTGCAATAGACTGCAGCGAGACACTGCAGCAAGGCTCCGCGCTGCTGGGAAGATCACTCCGATTCGCTTCATGTTCCAGCGAGGTGACACGAAGCGGTTTAATAATCTCCAGGTAATCTGCATTAAAACCATTTTACTGCAGTGTACTGCGGTATTAGGAGAGCTCGGTATCGCATCACATGACACAACACAACCTCACAGCATTTGTGAAGGAAAGAAAGCTTTAAATCAAAAGCTGCCATACAGCAACTTCCCATGCTACCAAGTCAGATGACAGCCTGTTCCGTCTCAATATGTCGGTGGATGCTATAAAATGGGACAAGATTCCTGGAATAAAGCACTGCAGACCCAAAAACAAGGCTGGTTTGTTTCTTTCTTAAAGTAGCCACCGGAGCTGGCATCACGGGGAATCTCTCCCCAAAGAGGCTTTCCCTGACATTTAGGATAACGAGTCACAGTGACATTCCTTCAGCGATACGGGAAATTTAGCAATACACGGATCATCTTTTTCCCATTCTTATTTAAGCTACCACAGACGCGCATCCCTCTCTCCCTGTCCTTCCTGCTTGCGTATTTTGCCATTTAAATTCGGATATATGCTTCCAGTACATCTTTTACAGCCATCCTATAAAGCAAAAACATCCCAATGTTATCCCATATGCTTTCATGTATGCTTTATGGCCGTCCTATAAGCAGAAACATCCTAATGTTATCCCAATGTTTGCACAGAGATTTTCATTATTTCTGTCCAGCTTCAGATCCGCTCCTCCCGCGCTCCCATCCAAGAGGCACGAAAGGTGCACGAATTTTGCCACAAATAAACCCTAACTTTTTATTATTATTATTTTGTACACTGCTGTAGTGCAGAGCACCCCGGAGGTGCTTTCAGAGGGTGAAAAAATTTAATTTTTTCATCTTTTTTGCAGGGATCAGCGGGACGCGGGGACCCCATCTCCTCCTGAAAGCCGGCGGGGGGCGGAGGGGGGCGACCTCAGGGGGTCCCCCCGGGGCTGGAGGGGAGTTAGGGGGACACCGAGGGGCCCGCTGCCGAAACCCCAGCCCCAAGCAGAGGGACACCGAGAGACCCCAGCGCCTCACGGGGGGCACCTCGCAGCCAGCCCGCAGGGGGGACCCGGCGCAGTCAGCCCTCAGGACGCCATCACCTGTTCGCGGCGGCTCCTTCCCCTCACGGAGGAGAGCCGGGGGGCTCCCCTCTCCCCACCGAGGGCCGGGCTGAAGCCGGGGCGAAGACAAGGTGAATCCAACCCGTTGTGAAGCCTCCCCCACACCCCTCCACCCCCGGTACCTCGCCGCGGCCATTTTCCGCCTCCCTCTGCAGCGGCTCCAGCGCGTGATGTCAGCGGCCGGCCCCGAGTCCCAGCCGCGCCGGCGGGGCTGCGAGGTGCCCCTTTCCTTCCTCCTCCTCCTCCTCCTCCTCCTCCTCCTCCTCTTCCTCCCTCCCTGCAGGCACCCTCCTCCTTCTCCTCTTCCTCCTCCTCCTCCTCCTCCTCCTGCCGCTGCCGCTGCTGCCGGCTGCCATGCGGCGCCGCGCCCCGCCCCGCCGGTGCCCGCGGGCGCCCATCCCGCTGCGCCGAGCCGCGCAGGGGGAACCCCGCCGCAACGGGCGGCTGCTGAGTCACGGCCCGAATTTCGGGCCCCTCCTCCATCCTCCACCTCCTCCTCCTCCTCCATCTCCTCCTCCTCCTGCATCCTCCTCCTCCTCCTCCCGCCCGGCTGCCGGCGGCGATGCCCGCTCCGCTGCCGGGGGGAGACGCTGCCCGGCCCCCCGCGGCTCGCCGCAGCGCCTGGCTGGCAGAGGGGCAGCCGCACGCCTGAGCCATGATCGCCGCCGCTTTCCTGGTGCTGCTGAGACCCTACAGCATCCAGTGCGCCCTCTTCTTGCTCCTGCTCCTGCTGGGGACCATCGCGACCATTGTGTTCTTCTGCTGCTGGCACCGCCGGCTGCACAAGGGGAGGCACCCCATCAAATCCGTCTTCTCGGGGCGCTCCAGGAGCCGAGGTGAGGGACCGGGGAGGGGGGGGGGGGGGGGAGAGGCTGACAGGAGGGGCTCCGGCTGCCGGGAGGGGAGCGAGGGGGTCGGGAAACCCCCCCGGTGTCTCCGCTACAGCGCAACTTTATGCTCAACTTCGTGCCGGGGAATTAAATATGAATAAAATCCCCGGGGGGAGCCCCAGCCCGGCGGCGGCGCAGCCCCGGGGCCAGCCCGAGGTGCAGCCGGGTGCAGCCCCCTTCCTCTTTCTGCTTCCCTTCCAGATGCTGTCATGAGAACCCACCACTTTCGCTCTGAGGTAATTTATTTAGCACGCAATTTCAAGGTCAGAAGTTGTTCTTTTTCCCCGCGTACTTAACCGTTGCCGTCGTTGTGTTCCTGTGTCATATTTGAAGCGCGCAGCACGCTCGGCGTTGTGCACGGGCGACACAAAGCCCTCGTCTTGTGCTTTTTATTTCACGTCTGCATCTCAAAATAAAACCCTCCACGCCAAACGCGAGCTCTTCACCTGCACCATCCCGGCCGGCCTGCTGAGCCGTGCTGCTCCCAAAGCGATCGGCCACTTCCACAGGAGCTGCGCCCACTCGGCGTGCCAGACCTGCCCAAAAACCACCCCTCAGCCCCATTCCTCACCTCACCTCACCTCACCTCACCGCAAGGAGCCCAAAAAGCATCCCCCAGCCCCGTTCCTCACCGCACTGCAAGGATGTGCAGAGCTGGTGCCTTGTGCAGCTGCAGAGCTCGCGGTTGCTGTGCCCTCAGCCCTCACCTGCCTGGCTGTGTCAGGAAGGAAAGTTGCCCGCCTCACACGAGCGCTGCTGCGGGAGATCCCGGAGGGATGCAGAGCCCCAAATCGCTTGGCAGACGCCTCACTGCATGACTCTGGCCTCAGAGGTCAGGGGAGTCAAAGGTCTTGCATGCCAGAGGTGGAAGAGCAACACAAAACCCAGCCGCCTCCCAAGCATTTTGAACTGAGGAGCGTAATTGCTGGGAAAACATGGAAAATAATGGAAAACAAAACAATAAAAACATGGAAAATAATATTGGTCTTAGCCCCTGCTCTGCTTCCATGCTGCTCTGTGGAGCTCCTGCCTAGATGTTTCTCTTGCCTGGCTTCCTGCTATTCATTTAAGGCATGTCTTCATGCTGCTGACTGCAATCCTTGAAGCTTTTAGAGAGTTTTACCACTAAAATGATCTTTTGTTTTAAATTATTTGCATTTTTCGTTACCCAGTTGTGGGTGAGAAAATTACCTGATCATGAGTAACGTTTTCAAAAGTGTGCATGTGGTATGTTTTGGTGATGTGGTTCCTAATGGAAATCAGTTGTGACTCTTTAACTCTTTCGAAATTTGGATGTGTTACTGTGGCAAGACGATGCATGGAGCGTAGTCAGTGGAGAGGCCTCATGTCTTTAAACCTTGAGAAGTCTGTTTTTGTTGGTTCTATGACTGAACAATTAGTGCTGCAGTAAGACAAATCTAACAAGCATGTCCTTCCAGAAGTCAAGAATTTTTTTCATGGTTTAGTACTTCCAATAGGAAATACTTGGTTTCCATGTAAGATTATTTTGCCATTGAGCGTGGACAGAGATTAAGGTTGATGTGTTGCTCTGTTCTGAGATATGTGAATGCTGACTCTTAAAAAGGAAGTTTGCAAAGTGACTAATTCATTTTTAGTAATCCGGTGTGCGGTTACTTGTCTGTCGCCCAGTAAAAAGCAGATGCATTCAAAATATTTCCTAGATATTTCCATTTACTGAACCATACTAGACCATGCAGACCAAAAAGAGCTATTGGATTCCTTCATAATTTTCTACATTGTCTTTAAACAGAGTAGCGCCACTGCTAATGGTCTGAGCTGCCCATTTAAGTAAGTGGTGGAGCTGTTTTCCCAATCATTATCTGATCATAAGCTTTTTATTCTTAAGAGAAAACGATGACTCATTTGACATCATTAAATTTTCATTTTCCAGTTGTTTTTTTTTTCAAGTAAAACCTTATTTTAATGAATCTAATTGAATTGATTAATAACAAATTACAGGCATGCTCTCATGAAAATATTGGCAACATTATTTGAAACAGAATTTGACATTCTCCTTCTATATCAGCACAAAACATTATGCGCTTCCAACTCCAACAGGATGTTAAGGAAGGCAACTCATGATACATGAAAATGCGAGCTTTGCTTAGATTTTTTATTTTTCCTCCAAAAATAAACATAGCATCCCAACTCCAAATTTTATAGCACAAGGTCCAGCTGCTAGCTTCCACTACGCTTAGCTGTTTGTCAGGTGCAATTGTAAATGGTGTTCTTTGATGATGATAAAAGGTGATGAAAAAGAGTTTGATAGTAAATAGCAATGGGTTGGCATGCATCTCCTGAGAGCTGTGTTCAAATACGACTTGCATCGCACATGAACGTGCAGGTGGTCTAGTGGCACTGCACAGAGAATTATAATTGCGCTATCTCCAGAGCGGTTGGCAATTCCTGCATGATTGGCTGCAAGCCAGGAAAGCCTTATATTTGGAAAAATAGATGTGTAGCAGAATTATGTTCAAGTTCCTTGCCAGAGCCATAGCCGTCGTGGTGCATGCCTACATTGTCTTTGTCTGTCTACAGCAGAGAAGTATTTAATCGTGTTAGTCCTGAACCCCACATAAAAAAAAAAAATAGTAAAAAGACCACGGAAGAGTAAATACTAAATTTGAAAATGCATGTGTGATCCCTATCAGATATCCTGTTTTGAGTTTTATAGGCCACTGGGCATTTAATCCACCATTACTTTGCCCATTTTTGTGAGTCTTGGTTTTGAGTGCCTCTGCGAAACTTGTCTCGTCATTATACCACAAAAGTCTATGCAGATATTTCTTACTGTAGAAGGAACTTGAAACACTTGACCCCTTGCCTCAAAAGGAGGTAAATTTGCATTGAGTTGTTATGAATATCAAGTAGGTTAAAGTCTGGTTTTGTTAGAGGTGCTTCATAACTGAGGAATTAACTAGCAAGAGGATGCAAGTGTTTACGAGATAGCACAGTTGTGTCTCCACCTCCCCAAGAACATTCACTTCCTACCATCTGAGGTTTGTCAGACCTGTTTTTTATGTATTCTTTGTTGCAGTCCTTTAAGTTCTCTATGACTGTAACTGCTCTTAGGATTCCCCTATATCCCTCAGGCATTAGAGATATTCCCTGGACTAAGACAAGAATCGCACCCAGAATAGTTAATGTTTCTTATCTGAGGTAGACCTAGATATGCCAGAGCTGTGAAGAAGAAAACAAGTAAATTTCCAGCAGAAATATTCATTGCTTACATGACAAATCAGACTTTGATGTAGCTATTTGAACTAATCTCTCCCTTCGTTATTTTGAGAATCAGTTGCAGAATGTAATGTCTGTGCTGTACCAAAACCACACCAAAATAAAAACGTAACTCAGTGAGGGTGTAGCCAAAATAAGGACTACAATGCTTTTTTTAATTCCTTGCATGTTCAAAAATTTGATATTAGTGATCCAGTTCCTTTGTGCTTCCCTTTCTTTCCGTAGGAGTTTGTTTCTTCATAAAGTGTAGGAATTTTCTCTGAGTACTTCGGGGGCTCGATAGGTTTAAGTGTTTATCAGCTTCTACTTTACACAGAGGTTTGAATGTTTTCTGTGCTTTACAATTTAAAGGCATTGTTTAATGTGCTTGTGTTGCCACTTCTTGTGATTTCAGTTCCTTCCTGAATGAGTTTTCCATATTTTCTAAGCCTCTGAAGTCATGGGATTATGTGAGATTTCTACCTTTCAATTAAAAAAAAAAAAAAAAAAGTAAGCTTCTAGCTCTTTTGCGTGCAGAGAGATCTTCAACATATGCAGGTCAGAGGCTTCTCACAAGCTTTTAGAAGACTAGCCTGCTGCAAACGTCTGGCTAATAGAATTAATACAAATGGTACAATTCTTAAAGCTTCATTATTCAAGGGCAAGAATTCGTGAATGGGTAGGTTCTCATTCAGGATTTTTAAGTAGTTGGCTTTTTATGGGATTGTTAAGGGATAATTGTGCTAATTACTAAACCAGTTGCTGATGGTTATCATATTATTGGGAAAACATCCAGTAGATGTAGAAATCTTTAGTCTGAAATTCTCTCTCAGCTTTACAGTTTTCCCTTATCTCACCTTTTAAATTAGAAATACGACGATGTCAGGACCAGAAGGTCTCAGTGTCCGTGGGCAGTCAGGAATACTGTGGTATCTTTTTCTATTTATTTTATTTTGACTCGTATATTTTGGGCAAGCTTTATGTGAATGGCTCCTCTGAGCCCTGCAGGTATAATCCTGCTAGGAAGCAAATTCATACAAGTTTTACAGTCCGCTGTAAATCCTGACTTGGCTTAAAACAGGTGCGTGCCAGGTGGGACTAGTCATATGAGGAAGCCAAACAGGAGTTGACCCTTTATGAAAAGGCTCTGGGGAGGGTTGGCAGCGTATATTAACCCCAGATGTAGCAAAGGAATAACACTTTGTCATTTGGGTTTTGCAGACCTCTTGTTTTCCATGCAGACTACTGAACAGTCGCTACAAGATTACATAGGTCAGCCAAGTCCGATGACGGTTTTTAAGAGCAAACAAATTTGCTAACTCATCTATTGTCATACAATAAATAAGGTACAGCGCAATTTCCAGTAAATGCATGTATTGACTTTGCCAACAATGGATGCCCAGAAAAGGTGTTCGTGTATTTATCTTTAAGCATAGCTTTGTCATAATTGTCCCCTCTTCTCAGGCTGATTTTGAGACAATTGCCTAAAAATACAGTTCTTGATATCTTACAAAACAATAATGAGTAGTCTTTGAAGACTTGCACTATAATCCATCGTGAGTGTTGTAGAGTTATTTATAAACTGCTCCAGATATGCACTGCTCCACTGAAAAGAGAAATCAGCAGACCCTCTATGCTGAATTTTCCTCTTCTGTTTGTTTGGAGGAAGTGCATTCAAAGAGCTACAGAAATGTACAGGGCTGTCCAGAAAAATACATTAATTCACCTATTCAAAGGCTGTCTCTTTGTCTTTGCAGAGCTGCATCGGTCTGAAAATGTTTTACCTTTGTGTTTGACATGTTTTATCCCCAGGATATCTGAACTGTTTTTCCATTAGTTCTCTTAAGAGTTAAGGAACAAGTTCAAGGGAGAATAAATTGGAGACAAAAAGAAATGGTTTTCTCAGATGTAGGAATGAATGGAGGTCTGTAAATGCAGGTTATAGTGTATAAGGACAAGTCCTCCTATCTGTTTTTCATAACATGCCCCAGACAGAATGCATCACGCTGTGCTGTCACATTGCAGG